GCGTAATACGAACGGCGGAGCAACCGGGGCAACAAGCCACTCTCGAAGCCGGTCTTTATACAGTGTCCAGTTCCCCGAGTCAGAGACGGGATTGAGTCCTGGGAAGTCTTGGGGAAATTTAGATAAGAAACAAGTAACTTCGATGTTTTGACGGATTAATACAATTCCTTAGTACACCCACACAAAAAAGCAATTCTCATGAGAAAGAAAAGAACATCGCGGAGGAATTAGTGACTGCAACAGGGCCTTCATATAAAGGGCCAGTTGCCAGTCGAAAACCACCGTGACACTGCTCGTACATGATACAAAAAACAACATGTTCGGTGCTTTAATTTAGGAAACGACAAATCTCCTAAAATAGCGTACGAGTGTTGTGTCCCGCTTACATCCTACCAAACCTATTGTACTTATTAGCAAAACTGACATACGTGGATTGGAGTCCTTCGAAAGAAGACAAACAAAAATTGATATAAAACATTTCTACTATAAAACATCATACTTCTCGCAATCGTTTACACCGTCTCGATACATTGTACTGTAGATATCCCGAAATCTCTTTAACAGTAAACGTAATTGACGTTAAGCGCGACGTATTCTGAAGTATCAACGATCAGGACACCATAAAACGTTTAATATACATTACCTATTCCTTTTTCACGTCTTCTATCTATTTGTTTATTTAATTCTCTCTCTCCCTCTTTATTTCTATGTTTAAAAAAACTAAACTAATTGATCATATGTTATCGCCTTAGATATCCAAAAAAGCTAAGCTTGTTCCAATCATGAAAAATCCGTACACTAGAAGAAAAAAAGCGTACCTTTAATTGGATTTCTTTTTCTCTTCTTTTCAGTTTTCGAAACGCTTTTAAGCTTAGAACGTAATTTGTTTAAATGAGCTTCGGTCTGTCGCCTTGTACCGGCACCGCGCTAGCTGTGCTGACAATTAGGAATGAAAAGATCTCTTCCCCGCACACACGGTCGCGATGCGGAGAAGCGTGTGCTCAGACCGAACCCAAGGCGTGCCTTCCGAGCTCCCGCGAATACGAGCCCGACTTCCTGACGTATTGACAGTGAAGCTTTCATTGTTGGCGGCTCGCTCCGCTGCAGCTCCGCTGCATATTCATGAGCACCGACGCGTGGCATTGAGTCGACGACCGGTGCTGTTTAATTTAGTTACTAGGTTTGGCTCGGCGCCTGTTCCGAGTCAAAAGAATGCCGTTATTTGCATATCAGCTGTGTCCTAAGCGAAACGAGAAATCCGCTTTTTTCGCTCCAGATGTACTACAGTTTGTTTACCTATCCCAATTGCAAGACGCGAACACAGAGTGGATTATACGAAGCTTAAGGTGTAGTTTTACGCCCCATGAAGATGTTCGAAGACAACGTTATCGGGCGGGCGAGCTGGTTGTTAATCGACATACTGAAACACGAGACGGAAGAAAAAAAGGACGAAACACAACGTCTTCATGAAGACTTGTTTTTGTTTGTTTTGTTTGTTTTTCGCTCAAAAAGCAACGTATAAAAGGTTTCGAAACCTATTTTGTGAAGTCGAATGATACTGAAATAACTGTCAAACAATTCGGTTATAAGTGTTTTTTTTTTTTCTTAGTTTGCGTCAGCTTAAAGTTTAAATTAAGTTTTCTGCATCTTCCGGGTTTTTTTGTTTTTTTCAGATCACTTCAGGAGGGCGCTGGTTGCGCCATCTGTTGTCGGCCCCGCTGTAAAATTAAATAAACATTGAAGACAACACTAAATAGTTCTAAAAAAAATCTTTATTATCAAGTTTTGTCCGCTACCCGTCATCCTCTTGGATGTCAGACCTGGGATACTGTCTTGAAATTTTTTCTCTTTCGCGTGATCGGATTGTAAGTGTACTCTTTCTGGAAACCTTTCTGCAAACTACCTACGCATTTTTTTTATGAATTTTAGTACAAGGTGTCACGGCATTTGAACCACTGTAAAATGAGCCGAGAACATCAGTCCCCCCCCCCCCCCCCCCCCCCCCCACTGCGCGCAACAATCTAAATTTTTCAGGAAAAGTGTATATTGGTGATCTTTCGTACCTTGCGAAGTTTCACAGCGTAACCAGCGTAACCCCATCCATGTATGACATGAGAATGAAATCCACAGGAATGCGAACCGCATGAACTCCATACTTTAAAATATCTACCGCAAATCACACAAAAATTGGAAGATGGATCCAAAAACTTCCCGAAAAAACAAAACAAAAAAACAATATTTTTTTTTGTATGAGGCATTTCTGGATATTGCAATTATGCTTTTGATAAAACCACATTTAAGTTGCATTAAATACTTCGCCATTAAAAATATATATAGCGTGGAACAATATTTTCGTGTTTCGATTTTCGCCCGATTTCCGTATGATTTCTTGCTCATGTATTCCTGCCTTTAGAGGTATAGACATACGCATGCTGGTGGAAGGCGGGCAAATCCTTGAAGCTTATCAGCGATTAACCTTTACCGGTAATAGGGGCAAACAGAGGAGATCTTAAGAATGTTGTGGGGCTCGCTTATTGCAATCGTGCCCCTGAGCTCTTGCAACCACTTTCTGGCTAGCATCGCCAGTTACGCCTAAAAATCCTTAGACTCCGTCCACTTTCAAGGGCTATCGAGCGTATCAACGTGGTGGAACCGTGTAGCAACGTAGTTAGTGCTGTCTATCGACGTAGCTGGTACACCATACCACCTTAGCTGGTAGAACAGGTAGAGGGAAACAAAACCTGCCCATTGCAATGTTAACAGGATTAATGTTCACTCCGTCGCGTCGTAGCGTCGTCTGCGGTCAGATTTAGTTTGAGTTGCGCTCCATTTCAGCGCGGGTTGCGGTCCATTTCAGGTTGAAGTCAGTTTCTTGTTGATAATGCAATTAATGCAAAGGTGCAAGCGAGCTGGACAAGAATTATGATAATATCCTTGGAAAAGGGGAACAATGGGGACAAAGGAAAACACAAATCTCCAAACACAGGTAGGTGACTGGTGTGCGACCGAAAAAATCCGCCTGCTCCTGGTATCAAACCAGGGACCTCTCCATTTCAAGTGGAGCGCTCTACCAACTGAGCTAACCAGGAGTAAAGCAAATGGGTTTTTTGGTCGCGCGCCAGTCACCTAGCTGTGTTTGGAGATTTCTGTTTGTCCTTTGTCCCCCTTGTTCCCCTTCTCCGGGGATTACTATCATCATCCTTGTCCAGCTCGCTTGCACCTTTGCATTAATTGCATTATCATTATAACCTTAAAATGCAGGCCGTCCGCCCATGTTGGTGTTGGAATGGTGGCAGCTGATAAAGCCCGTTTGCTCTACTGACGTCTAACCCCTTTTTAGCTCAGTTGGCAGAGCGCTCCACTTGAAATGGAGAGGTCCCTCGTTCTATACCAGGACCAGGAGGACTTTTTCGGTCGCGCACCAGTCACCTAGCTGTGTTTGGAGATTCGTGTTTTCCCTTTGTCCTTCTTGTTCTTCTCCTCCAGGGATTATTGGAGCGAAGCTCTTAGGCGCCCGTCTCCGGATTGAGCGGCGTCAACGTCGGCGTAACCACGCTTAGTTTAGCGGGAAAATCGACGTCACGTGACCTCAATAACAAATCAATTCCCCGCTAAATTTAGCGAAGAAATTCAGTTTCTCCGCTAGATTTATCGAATTCAGTTTCTCCGCTAGATTTAGCGGGAATATTGACGTCACGTGACCACAATACTAGAGGGAAATTGAATTGGTGTTGAGGTCACGCGACATCATTTTCCCGCTAAATCTAGCGAGGAAACTGAATTTATTTAAGGTAACGTGACACCAAGTCATGTGACGTCATTTTCCCCGCTAAATTAAGGGTTAAACTCAACTGGGGGAGGAGGGGAGAGGGAGGAATGGAGGAAGAGGAGGAGGAGGAGGAGGGGCATACCCTCCTTTCCGTACTTTCCTATTCCCCTGCTGAAGAGCTGCGCTCTAATTTCGCATTACAGAGTATTGTAAACGCATTTCATTTTTATCATCATTCTTGTCCAGCTCGCTTGCACCTTTAAAATAATTGCATTATCATCATAACCTTAAGGAGCCCATGAAACGAATTCTGGGCTGGGACAAATCAATTTAGATTGGGATTTCCCTACTAGCGCATCGTTCAGTGGGCCAAAAGGAAAAAGGTAGAAAGTCAAAAGCCTGACTTTGAGCACGAAAATTTGAAAACACAGCGACTATTTCGTACCTCCTTCCCTTCACAATCTCTCTGCCTTTTCACTGTGAAACATCTGCGGTCCCCATAGAGATTCACCGCGGGTCCAAACGCATGTCACACGACACCGGACCTCAATTATTCCCTTCACCCCTAAGCTGACATTGCGGTGGAAGCTACGCGCTTGCGGGGCTAATCAGCCGCCTCCCTCTTATCACCTGACCTCATTCTCTGAGCGTGGATATGCGCGAGAGAGCGTGATCACCTGGCAAAAAGTGTGGCTGGTCCAAGGAGCACGTTGCTTTTACAGCATTGTCAGCTTCGGAGTGAACGGGGTGGGGAAAGCAACTTTTGTATGAATTTTGAGCGACGGGCTAAGCTTTTAGGGGGAGAATGGCTGTGTCCGGGTACACAAACAAGAGTCCGAGCAAGACTCCCCCTTTCCGTCTTATTGAGCTGTTTGGTACAATGCGCGATTTATAAGTTGAGGAGGAAAGCTAAACAGGAAAATTTTGGAAAATCGTTTCATGACTCCTTTAAAATGCAGGCCGCGTACACCTAAGCCTTCGTTGGTGTTAGACTGGTGGCAGCTGATAAAACCCGTTTGCTCTATTGACGTCTAACACCTGGCTAGCCCAGGTGGTAGGGCGCTCCAATGGAAATGAAGAGGTCCCTCCTTCGATAATAGGACCAGGCGGATTTTTTTCGGTCGCACACCAGTCGCCTATCTATGTTTAGAGATTTCTGTTTGTCCTTTGTTCCCCTTATTCTCCTTCTCCAGGGATTATGATCATCCGTTTCTTCTCGCATTTTTCGCAGCGGCCAACGTGGCGTGCAGCACGGGCGCCGACGGCAGCTCCTCGGCGGTGAATCCGGCGTCGACGACGGCCAACCTGATCCAGTTCACCGATCTGATGCACCGCGGAAGCACGCCATCGGCCTCCGTCAAGATCATCGCCACCAAGATCGAAACGTGAGGACCGGCCCGCGCTAGCCACGCCCGACGCGCCATCGTCATCTCATCGCTTTCACTTCAGTGGGCCAACCGGTATGTCCGTAGGGCTACGTAGACACCTTCTAGAAGCTAAAGCCTGCGCGCCCGCCAAAAAAGCGGCAGTCGGCTGGGCGCTGGGCTTTGCTGCACCGAAGCTCCTGCTGGGCGGCCTAGCTGTGGCTTCGATCGGATGTACGAATGACACAGTCGTGCGCGACGACGACGACATGATTAATCGTATTACAGCTTATATAATTAGAATTCCATGTACAACTCTGACTTTTTAGGGTTTACAATTAAGTTACGACGACTGAAAGCACTTGTGGTAAATATTAGCGACAACGCCCTTTCAGCAATTATTTAACTGGATCCCCTTTATAAAACCAAAGCGCTGTTCTGCAATCACAAATATTTAAATTTTAAACATCTCTTTGACGTCCATGTTTACCACACAGCTAGAGAATATGTGAAATTGTATTTTATGCCCAGCGCCTTCCGGGTGGTTCCCTGATGGATAAAAGAAAAGCAATCTCCCTATTCTGCCTCCCCCCACAGGTTACACTGCCACTTTTGTATTTAACAAAAAGTGCAAAAAAAAGTGACGGTGCACTTCTTAATGGACGGGTCATTAGTTTTATTCAAAACAGGTAGTTTTAAAAGAATGAATCAAGCGAATGCGGCACAAAATGTGACTGACCGACCACGTGTCAGAAGGCGCTTTTGTAACAAATGAACGTGACAAGATCTATAGGTTGTCTAATGGGATAATTTACTTTTTGCCTTCGTCTCGGGTTTTAGTATGTCGATCTACAGAAATGTCGTAATTCCTTCAAAGTTTTTTTATTATTATTTTTTTTTTTTGGACACAAACTGCCGCTTTTTAGCTGGAGCAGTGTGGATGAGTGCATGCTTGAGTTGTATGGCCGCTTGCTCAAGTGTCCAACTCTTCGAACTCTGGCAGCGTAGTAGTGTCAGGTCCCCGACAACTTTTCGCTGATCACGTAAACGCAATAACTGAGCGATGTCCTGGGGTGACACAAGCTTGTTCACAACAAGTTCAGCGGGCGTAATCACACTGACGGCCAGTTGTGCTGCAAGGTGCAGTCCCTCTCGATTTAAAGCATCTGTCAGATGATGAACCCCTGCATCGTGAAGAAGTGTCTCCCCAAAGCCAAATGCTCTCTGCACTATTCACACTTGATTGTCTTCATAGCCACGAAGGCGAAGTGTACACCTACGTAGGTCAGGACACGAGTCTTGGAAGACGGAACTGCTAAATCATAGTTGGTGATGTCGAATGCAAAAGCTAGAACACAAAGCAAAACACTCTGCGCGGGTGACTCGCATGCTAAAACCAACAAAATATTTCAGAACACTTTGCAAGTGGCAGCTCTTTTTAAAAATACCTAATATGCCTCATTGAGACTATACAGCAAATATCAGAGTTGTTTATTATACTATAATCCTTCCAGGAACAATGCCAATTCTCAAGTGCAAGAGTACAAAAATAAAACAAAAAGCTGTCAAACCAGCATACCCTCGAAGAGCTCGTAACTTAACTTCTTTATAACAGGCTGAAGTTGAGCTAGTTGGTACATAATTTAGGTAAATGGTCAGCTAGAACGAGAGGGACAAACACAGACAGGGAGAAACAGAGACATACACACCGCTGACTATCAACTAAGACTTTATATTTCTTCTTCATCACTGTGACCCACAAATTCACTCCTAAAGTAATGCCAATGAATGACCCTAAATCCTTACAGTACACTAATAAATGAAAATACTGATTAAATAATATTAAATTAAAATTGAAACTAATTAATTACATTAAATTATTAATTATTAATTTTGGTCCAACCCACAGACCACCGCCGAAACATGTCCCTCCTAGTCCCTTTCACGGCGCCGTGCCACACTGCAAAAACTGCCTTTCTTTCTTGCTGACCGTGATGGAGGGCATGCTCACGCAGTCGTCGCCGGTTTGCTCAATGGCCAGGGCCTCGAGGATCTCGCGCGCGAAAGCATTCCTGTGTCTGTTAATAATGGAGACGCTACTAAACTGTGGCCTGCACCCGCACGTGCGGCAATGGGCAGCAAGGTGCCCTGCTCCCGTGCCTTGCACCGACGCCGCGTGCTCCCTGACTCTGTCGTTAACGCAGCGTCCCGTCTGCCCAATGTAGCTGCTCCCACATGACATAGGAATCTTGTATACCACACCGGTCTGGCACATGGTGTACTTATTCCTGTGTGCAGTATTGCAGGTTGGCTGGCGGTTCGTGGCCCGATTTACTTGGCGGCACATAAAGTTCCCTCTGTTCGGTGCCGAGCACACCACGCTGACGTTTTGTCGTGCAGCGATCTTTTTGAGCCGGTGGGTGACACCGTGGATGTAGGGGACTACTGCGAAGTTCGCTCGTGAAGTCTGTCTGTCTCGCTCGGTACTGGGTGATCCTCTTGAAAATTTCCTGCAAATTGCCTCACATACGGCTCCAAGGAGGACACCTGGGTACCCGGAGTCACGAAGCCGGGCCATCTGCTTCTGAAAGCTGGCGTCAGCTTGATGCAACCATCAAGCTGACGCCAGCTTTCAGAAGCAGATGGCCCGGCTTCGTGACTCCGGGTACCCAGGTGTCCTCCTTGGAGCCGTATGTGAGGCAATTTGCAGGAAATTTTCAAGAGGATCACCCAGTACCGAGCGAGACAGACAGACTTCACGAGCGAACTTCGCAGTAGTCCCCTAGATCCACGGTGTCACCCACCGGCTCAAAAAGATCGCTGCACGACAAAACGTCAGCGTGGTGTGCTCGGCACCGAACAGAGGGAACTCTATGTGCCGCCAAGTAAATCGGGCCACGAACCGCCAGCCAACCTGCAATACTGTTTGTAGAAAACACGTCAGGCGACTCCGATGTCTCGGATGGAATGTTTTTAATCACGCGCGCTCGCGACCACCTCAGCGCTTGTGCATGGCGATGGTGCCGCGAGCTAAAAGAGAAAACAAAAAACAACAAAGTGTCTAGCACGGGGCCCCTACAGGGGTGGCCTTGGTCACCCGCCGCTGCTAGTGCTGGGCCTCGGCGTTTCCCGACCACGAGCAAGGCCACACCTGTAGGGGCCCCGTGCTAGACACTTTGTTGTTTTTTTGTTTTCTCTTTTAGCTCGCGGCACCATCGCCATGCACAAGCGCTGAGGTGGTCGCGAGCGCGCGTGATTAAAAACATTCCATCCGAGACATCGGAGTCGCCTGACGTGTTTTCTACAAACTGGTGACCCTCACGTTACAGGTCTGCGTCGCCACGAGATTCGCGTTCTGACCAGCACTGCTGGTACCATCGCCGCTTCGGTTTGCGAAACGCTGCTCAGACGTTCCAGCGATTCATTGACAAGATCACGTCCGGGTCACCAGTTTGTAGAAAACACGTCAGGCGACTTCGATGTCTCGGATGGAATGTTTTTAATCACGCGCGCTCGCGACCACCTCAGCGCTTGTGCATGGCGATGGTGCCGCGAGCTAAAAGAGAAAACAAAAAAACAACAAAGTGTCTAGCACGGGGCCCCTACACTGCACACAGGAATAAGTACACCATGTGCCAGACCGGTGTGGTATACAAGATTCCTATGTCATGTGGGAGCAGCTACATTGGGCAGACGGGACGCTGCGTTAACGACAGAGTCAGGGAGCACGCGGCGTCGGTGCAAGGCACGGGAGCAGGGCACCTTGCTGCCCATTGCCGCACGTGCGGGTGCAGGCCACAGTTTAGTAGCGTCTCCATTATTAACAGACACAGGAATGCTTTCGCGCGCGAGATCCTCGAGGCCCTGGCCATTGAGCAAACCGGCGACGACTGCGTGAGCATGCCCTCCATCACGGTCAGCAAGAAAGAAAGGCAGTTTTTGCAGTGTGGCACGGCGCCGTGAAAGGGACTAGGAGGGACATGTTTCGGCGGTGGTCTGTGGGTTGGACCAAAATTAATAATTAATAATTTAATGTAATTAATTAGTTTCAATTTTAATTTAATATTATTTAATCAGTATTTTCATTTATTAGTGTACTGTAAGGATTTAGGGTCATTCATTGGCATTACTTTAGGAGTGAATTTGTGGGTCACAGTGATGAAGAAGAAATATAAAGTCTTAGTTGATAGTCAGCGGTGTGTATGTCTCTGTTTCTCCCTGTCTGTGTTTGTCCCTCTCGTTCTAGCTGACCATTTACCTAAATTAACTTCTTTCTCCGGAATTGCCGCAATCCATTGTATACGCCGTTGCTCGTCGGTTGGGAAGGAGGATATGTGGACCTTCGGTCCTCCGACATAATTTTCCCGACACGGCACACAACACTTATAAGGAATTGATCCTCATATTTACACACACAAAAACACTAGAGACCCTGGTCGCCGACAGAGGCGTCTTGTCTCCGTATTTCGAGCAGCTTTCTTGTATGAATTTGCATCGCTTGCGAGCCGCCTGCAGTCTGATAAAATTGCGTCGGCACGTCGCGTATTCTTATTCTTTTTTACATTATATTTAGCCGGTACAAGCTATAACACACTTCCGTCGTTGACGCTCAGACCGAACGCATCGGGGGATAAAGGTGCATAAAAAAAAGAGAGAAACAAAAAAAAAAGTATTTCCGCGGGCCATCCGGAGTGCTTCCTCATCATCGCCGGAGATGCTCGGCGGTGAAAAACCCCTGTTGGCTCTCCTCGCTTGTCCTTGGAGCATCGACGTAGTTGACGCAACAAAACAAAGCGCGCAGGTTTTAGCTTCCAGAAGGTGTTGGCCACATTCACGCGTCGCCATGGGGTTGGTCTTTGTTCGCAGCGCGCGGCTCAGAACTAAAGTTCCGAGATAAGAGGTTCCTATTAAAGTCCCTAGATAAGAGCTTCCTACAAGTAGCGACATAAGGTCCTTTGAACTTCTTTTATAAGCAATGACAACCAATACAAATGACAGAGCACATTCCGCTGGAACAAAATGGCGGCATTTAATTTAAGCCTCTGCTGTCCGCCACCCATTCGCTTCCTACAACCTGCACCGTCACGCAGTCGGCGCTTCAAAGAATGTCACTACTTGTAGGAAGCTCTTATCTATGGACTTTATAGCGACGTTCTATAAAGCGCCGTCTGCGTGACGGTGCAGGTTTTAGGAAGCGAATGGCGGCGTGCAGCAGAGGTTTGAACTGAATGCCGTCATTTTGTTCCAGCGGAATGTGCTTTGTCATTTGTATTGGTTGTCGTTACTTGTAAAAAAAGTATCAAAAGGGACTTTAGTTCTTAGTTCCGTTCCTACAAGTAGCGACATTCTTTGAAGCCCGACTGCGTGGCGGTGCAGGTTTCGGGAAGCGAATGGCGGCGCACAGCGGAAGACAGAACTGAACGATGCCATTTTGTGCCAGCGGAATGTGCTTTGTCGTTTGTATCTGCAGTCGTTACTCGTAGAAAGAAGTTTCCAGGGACGAACAGTTCCCTCCTCTCCCCCCATGGCTCGCCTCTCGCTCGTCGTTCGACGCGCCGGACCGCGGCTATGGTAACCGCGGTATATTCAACGGAATGCGTATACGTTTCGAAGCACCGCCTAGATGGTGTTCCACCGTTACTCCACGGAACACGCAGTTTTGAAACAAAAATCTAGATGGCGCTTCAAACGACTGGAGGCGGACTGAAGTGAGTGAAGGGGGTATAATCTCCGCGGAAGTTCCACCACTGAGGTAATCTAGGGTAACGTTAGTCGGTGATAGCAAACGCTCAGTTGACGCAGCTTTTAATATGGCTCCTTCAAATCGCAGTGTCGGCTGCGATCAGACGCAGTGTGAAACGTAGAGTAACTCGCATTTATCGTCTGTCAAGGACAACAATCCTGATTATGCTCCGTTTCTGTCCAAGTCCGCACGCAGCCGACACTACGATTCGATGGAAGCGATCAAGCAGCGCCAGAAGCGCATCGTCACGGTGCTCCTAGTCTTGGTGGGTTCTCGCTATCACCGGCTAAACCAACTACGCGCAGAATGTTTGTCTTTTTAGACTTAGGCTAGGTGGCGCAAGCTACCGCCCATTGCAAAGGGTATAGCCATTAACATCCATCCATCCATCCAGAACAGGATCCAGAGGCAATACGCCTGTTGCTGTCAGTAAGGGGGCGCTGCAGCGTTCACGAGACGCGACCACGAAAGAGGCGCCTCCGCCAGCGTGCGCGAAACGCGACCATTTAATGCTGACGTGAACTGGCGTCCCAGCGTCCCATCATGCACCTTCCACAGGCGTAAACTAGCCTCTTTGAGCGTCGTTTCTCAGCGTCTCCTAACGGTTCATGCGCACTGACAGAGCGTTTGAAAGGATGCAACGCTACGCACAGCGGAAACGTGACTTAGAAATATCTGTTGCTGCTCGCCAGGACGCTGTTCAGAACTTGAGAGCTGCGTGTCTATGGGTGACGCTACTCGATTGAATCCTTCGAACTGTAGCTTCGACTGCGGTCGGAATTAAGGTACCTCCCAGTCAAGATAATAATCCTTGGCAGAAGATAAAATTTAAGTATGTCCCAAGCCTCGCTTATAATCCCTTTCCACAATAAGATTCGGCGCTTCCCACGAGGGAGCAAGCTGTTCATGAGGCCCCCCGTAACAAGTGACATCAGATAGGCATATCATTCTGATAACACAATTCACGTTATTTTTCCCACTGTTCTATAGACCTTTGCAAAAATCGCCTTCTGCGCGCTGCGATGTTTGTCTACTGAACTGTGGAACGCCTTCTCAGCATGCTCTGTTGGTCTGCTGTGCGGTATATCGGACGCTGCGCAAGCGTCCACAGCTCCGTGACTCAGCGTTTTTCGCCCGGGTGATAGGCGATGCAAAGTTCTATACGCTGTACCGTGTAAAACGGCGTGTGACAAAACTGTCTGGATCCGAGTTTGAAGTCGGCTGTCTCGGAGCCAACGCTGAGTGGCAGATGCACCCTGGCCCCCAACAACCGGCTTCTAACGTGGATGAACGACTGCCGAGGTTTGACTAGACTACTATCTGCAGGGTTCGCTCTGCTAAAGTGGAAAGAGGGGGGAACAGCTTCCACTTAGTATATGGTCATTGCTATGGCCATCCATCTAGTTCTCAAACTATGCGTACGTTTTTAGTAGTTCTTTCGGGACGCTATAAAGTGTTTCTGATCTGACAGATAACGATACCACCATACCAAAAAGCGCGACTCCTTGTTTTTGCTTTCTCTTTGCAGCGCAACAACAAAACAACTGAGGAGGAGCTTGGACTAGTTATGCAATGCAAATACGGTGTGCGCGTGTACATAGACAACCGAGATGCTGGCGGACACCAAGACTGTGGCGTGCCCTTCTCTGCACCATGGAACAACCGGGCAAGGACGGACGTGCATTGTTCCTCCGCTTCTTGTTTCTTCCTTTTTTTTTTTCTTTTTTTTTTTTAAGCAAACGAACTCGGATATTTTATCTCTTGTTCATATTTATAAGACATCTAGGCTTCAGCTGCAGATCCCAGAGTACATAATTATATCGCTGTTAATTATAGTACCATAATGCGGAGTCGTTGGGCGAAGGATGTGGTGTTGGCTTGTTCTTGAAAGCAGAGCTCTATGAATCGGAAACGGACGAGTGCTTTTTCACTACGAGACTTCGTATGTACATATTCCGCTCTTGTAATGTAGTTACACGAAGCAAATGGACCAATAGGTATTTTTTGAAGAAAAGAATATGTTTATTAACGAAGAAAGCTGGATGCATTTTCAAATGTCGACGATGTGGAGCAAAAGACCTGCTTACGGTGTTTGTTTCATTTGAGTGATTGTTAACCATTGTAAACGTAGAATACAAAATAGCATTGCATCTTGACATACCTAAGTGGCAGTTAACAGAGCCATAAAGAAAGTTTTAAATAAAAGGTTGCTCAAAATATTGAAGAGATGGTAGTTTCATTTTGTACTCTCTCTATATGCGTGTGTGTATGCGTATTTTGATGTCCGGCAAGCTATTGCGGGAGTACATTGCAATCTCAGAGAAACAATAGTGAGGGTAGTCAGGTGGTGAATGATTGATTAGGAATGTACATAGCGTGACCCGTTAGTTTTCGTTACCAAGCGACGCCCAGAAAGCTTCGTAAATTCACACACAGTCATAGCTAGGCGTCAGCAAACTTTAAGCATCGTTCCTGTCGAAAAGTTGCCACTTTTGTAATGGCGTCACACTCTCCATTTCATCCTGGTTTAGTAAATTGTTCAACAAATGCTGTTAAAATAGTCGCCCTCTCAAACACGCTTTTCTGAAGAAAAAGGCAAATCCAATGGACGAAATATCATTGAAAAATCACTGAAAAGGGGAATATATCACGGAATATTAGAACCTCATTGTTACTAAGCAGACGAGTCATTATTGGTGCTTTCTTCCATTACACAAGCAGCTGTTCGCAGCTTCCCGAATGCCTGTTTCACGTGATCGAAAAATTTCCTGCAGAATAAAATTGTGCTAACGCGTCGAACAATTCAAAAAGGCTTCAGTGAAGTGGACCATCTATTATATCTTGCGTATCGTATGCCGCGCCAATACAAGCTTCCGGAAAAAAATATTTTTTTTATTTTTTATCGTCCATTTACTTCCGTTTTGACGTAAATAAATTAAGAAGAAGAAAACAAAAGTGTTCCCTTCACATCACGGGTATTTGTTGAGGAAGAAGGCATCATGGAGGAATTCCTGGAAGCCTACTTGTTAGGCGTACTTTTTTTCTTTTTTTTCAATAGATTCATTCTGAAAGCCCATAAATCAATAATGGCGGTCGCCATTTCTTGGGCACAAGGCGTGTGATTGGACCCGAGTCCTTGCCGAACGCTGACGCAGCCCTCTGTCCAATACAAGCTCAGAGTATGTGCCCCAACAATGGCGGACTCGAATGATTGCCCCAGAAGCTACTAGATAACGCGCTCTGTTGAAAAATGGTCTATTCATAGGTCTGTGAATAGCAGAAACTGGACCACTACTAGATGTTGCCCATTCCGCGTAGCGGTTGTGTATATTAAAGACATTTTGTTTGTTACCATGAAATGAACCACGAACCATTGACATTTTGCTTGTCACTGCGGTGCCTTGTCCAAATTTTAGCTGCTTTTCCTACGGCTAATAGCCCGTACTTTTTTCATTTATAAAAAAAACAAAAAAAAAACTGCATGTATATATGTATGCGTTGGTTTTACTTTGTTCTGCTGTTGGCCATTTAATTGTGGCGGCAATATTAATTGACAGAAGACAGTACATTTACTTCCCTGATAGCTTGACCGCCGTTTGGTTGGTTTGTGCTAAATCACACACCTTCACCGGAAAAAAAAAAGTGCATGCATGGACACATTATGAGTCTACTAAACTTCCCTTAAAAGTTGTAACAAACTTTGAAAAAAATATAAAATCTAATAATAAATGGGGGCCGATTTTTTTTTTTTCCAACTTCCAATGAACTGAGGAAGAAAAACAAGAGCGACGAAACATTTTTTAATATGCTCTCCCAAAGGTTCCCGCCTGGTTTCTGCCGTCATTTCATCACGAGAACAAGACCCTCAGTCGCCACAAACGTTCGTCCCTGACCCCCATCATCGAGGACATTCGTTTGTCCTTCCCAAAGCCTCGTGCAATCTCCTCCGTACTGATTACACGTGTGTGGCGAGCGACGGCCTTGCCGACGCAAGATGGAATGTTTCGAGATCCCGGGCGACAGCCTTCTTTGTGGAGGGCTTCCAAAACCTTGTGCCATGTCAGAATAACTGCACAAATATGTGTAGTGATTATAGAAGTAGCTAGAGCAATGTGTCTCTATTCTGTGTTTATTAAAAGATTTCTCGCCGCTCACGTTTCTTTTTGTCCAGTTCATCGGAAACGTAAAAAAGAAAAGCAGTCCTCGTTTTTTTTTTTTTTTCTTCTTCTTGTTTTTAGATTCCGATTAAGATTTCAATTGTCGCGAGTTTCAACACATCATTTCAGTTGCCATGTTCCCCTAAGCTACATCTTATTTCAGATAATTTTCGGCAATCGCAGAGAGGTATAACACACATAAACACGCGGTGCAGAAAATTGCCAAAGGCTTACGTGATGCCAGGCGCGATCACACTTTTATTTGCTTAAACTTCGTAAAATACAAGTATTTAATATACGCTTATTTGTTGCACTTGGGCTGGAAAAAAAAAACAAAAAAACTCATGACTATGATTATGGTTTTGCGATATAGGTGTTCATTTAAATCAGTCCTCGAAGCTCATACATTACTCTCATGTGCCTAGCAAACAGCTGACCAAAGAAACCGCTTGAGGTGCCTCGATCGTTCAGCGTGAAGCACTCCTATCAGCCTTTAGTTGCCGTCGACAAAATACCAGCGTCTGGGGTTCGTTTCATGGAGTAATCAAGCAGGCTTTATCTCGGTCCACATGTCGACGTGACACTGCATGTCGGTGATGAAGAAACAAATATTGGCTCGACATTAGAAGTTTTCAAAGGCTTATATTACTGAATCCAATAACGTCAACACTTGATTCAAGTTATGTCCTAGCGTTAAACACGATCGTAAGTCTGCGGATCGTAAGCAGCAGTAACAGACGGACGATTTATGAATTCGGAAATTACGGTCTGTGCGTAGGCGAGCTGGTGGAAGTTTACCATGGCGATTTTAACCCGAGACTGGAGTAGGAGGAAATGGTTTACAGTGGAAGAGAAAGTAAAAGGTTTGACGGCGTCTCTGTTGTCGATCCCTGCAACAAGGACAGACGCGGTCTGCCCGTTATACAGGGTGTCACAAAAGAAAATTTACACGTTTTTTTGCACCGCAAAAATAAACTAGGCATCGCCGAACGCTCATCCTCCGCCCAAAGGTAGCGCTAGAGGTCACGACCAGATGCCAAAGTTTCAGCCCGATCCGATAAATTAATCAAAAGTTATAAGTGATTTTCTGAAAATTTCAATGGGAAAATGGCGGCCGACGGAGTTTTCAAACACATGGGGCTCTATGGCACCAGAAACCGAAAACAGGCGGAAATGGGCTCCATTTTCCCATTGAAATTTAAAAAAAAAATCGCTTATAACTTTTGATTAAGTTATCGGATCGGCCTGAAACTTTGGCATCTGGTTGTGACCTCTAGCTCTACCTTTGGGCAGAGACTGAGCGTTCGGCGATGCCTAGTTTATTTTTGCGGTAAAAAAGACCGCGTAAATTTTCTTTTGTGACACCCTGTACTTTCTCTTACACTGTAAAAAAATTTCCTCCTTCCACCCAAGTCTCGGGTTAGAATCATCATGGTTATGAATTCCGCTTAAATAATGGGAATAACGCGGTTGGCAGATGCTTGTAGGTTACGGGTCACAACTGGGATATTTAATTTGTATTAAATTAAGCGCGATTTCATTATTTCATTTCCAGCTTTTAATGAGCTTGGATCAACCGACTACATTATATGTCATTTGCGACACAGCACTCTACTCAATCTGAAAGTAGTAGTTCATGACAGTGAGGCTGAATAAACAACACAGAAAAATTGCTTTAGCCTATTTTGTTTGTTATTGGGTCTGCATGCTGGCGTGCTGGAATGCGACCTATGTCCCAAGCAGGGCCGTAACCAGGGGGGGGGGGGGGGGGGGGGGTGTTAGGGGGTTCTGACCCCCCCCCGAAATTTTTTTCTGGGTACGTCCCTGGTCGGTGCACTGGCAGCCAGCCGATTTTAATCTCCACCTCTGCGCACGCGCAGTGGCGCCGGTCGGCTACCGGGTACCAAACCGGGACCGGTTCTCCGGTTTGCTGTAACTCTCCATTATATGCTACCGATGCACATGATTCATAGGCAAAAATAAGACAATAGACACTTTCACAATGGCCGCCGTTGTCCCCGAAACCCCCCCCCCCCCCCCCCCCCCCCCCGAAATTTTTTTCTGGGTACGGCCCTGGTCCCAAGCCACTGAAATTTGAAGATGCCAGTATAAAAAGTGTTCTTGGGGAAAGTGATTGTATTCTGGTGCATCCTCTAAAAGCACAATAACATGCTCATCGGTTCACCCTTCATAGATTGCAAGAGTAACATGCGAGTTCTGCACAACCTCCAAAAACTTACTGGACGGTTCAACAGAACAGACAGAACTACACACGAGACAAGCGATGTCGCTTAACCTTTTCTTGGGTGATTCTTTTCGTTGCACTTAAATGTTTTAGAACACACTCTTCAAAATCGTGTTAATCCATACGGGCTGCGATTAAAAAGTATCCAAATATTTTCAGATAACTTATTAATCGTGCATCAGCGACTTTGTCGCACAGGAGTGCGAACAGCTTTTACTTTTTCTTCACTTTTGAATACCGGAACGTCCATATCACTCTCAACACTTTCACGGTCATCTTTGAAACGTTTGTACCGCCCATAAGCTTGCGTACGACTTTACAGTAATCTCCATACAGTTTCTGTAACATTACGTAGATGTCTTCGAAAGCCAAGAGCAGTTTTTAAAAACAATTTACGTAAATTCGTCTTTTTTTTTTTGTGACAAATGCGGGCTACAGGAACGCATATGCACAGTACACGGTGACTCCCATTGCGACGCGCAATACAAAGTTAGCCTGGAAACTTATTGATCAAACCTCGTACCTTCAATCGATTGCATCAATGTGCTCACTGCCTCTCTGAAACCACTAAATTCATCCAAGATAACATTGTGGTATAATAATTATAAAGTATTTCCCGGGAGAAATTTCGCTGAAACTATTGTCAGAAACTCGCATCACACACTGCATTCATCCTAACAGCAGACTTGTACAGAACATCATTAATTACTTTAATAAATGCCGGAAGAAAAAAAACATGACCCCACTTGCTGTTATTAAATTGCCTGTAACATATGGGTGTTACTGTCAAGACCGGTTATAACAAAGTTGGTTAATACGAAATAGCGGCTACAGCGAAGCGATCACGATTTCCCATTCCCTTTAGCACTTCGTTAACCGAAGTTTTTTATAACGAAATAGCGGATATAACGAAGTGATTTCCAATTCCCGTTGACTTCGTTATAACCAGCCTCGACAGCATACGCCGAGTCCTGACTATTTTTATGAAATGCGGGAAATGTCAAGGATACGGGAACGAGAGGGGAATGGGGGAACGTACATAGTTCTGGTCAGGGTTGAGTATAGAAGTCGAGATGATTTAGAGTGATTTAGATCATGATTTAAATCGTGATTTAAATCACTCCTATTTTATTACGATGATTTAGATCAGACGTTTCCCACAAAAATAATCTCCAAAATATTTTTATTTACCGTTCGTCTATCATTTAATGTTTTCTATGTGCATTTGTTTTCAACATCTGGGAAACCCAAGAGAAGAGACTAAAAGAGGGACGTTGAAAGTACAGCAGATCGCCTGTATTTTGTTATTCCCAGCATTTATTTTGTGTTTATAACACATTCATTAAGCAAGACCTACAGATTGCTGAACATGATCAAAAAGCGGTGCTCTTCTGAGCAAGTCCGTGTAGAGCTTTCTACCTTGCCTTTCGTCAATTGCGTTATGTCCCTTTGTAATGAGATCAGAATGTGAAAGAAACAAAAACAAAAAAAATTAATACTTTATTGGAAGCAAATAAAAAAACGAAAAAGTACATAAAACTTATTCACTGCTTTTTGTTCTAGTATAGATATTAATTACACTATACTTTAAAATATTAAACATACAGTAACCCTTTCTTTTGCATAGTTTTGACGATCGGAAGAATTTAATTATTGACTTCCTGTTTAAGAATTACATCCAGTGTAAAGAAACTTTTTTAGCTAAAGATTTTAATTAAAAAGAAATCTTATTTACTAATTTTTTTTAATCATGTTTTTTTTTCATTTTGGTTTTGGTTGAGCTTGCTTAGCATGATTCTCTGCGAAGATGTAAAGAATAAATGAGAAAGAACCAGGCAAAAGTAAATGGCATAAGAGAGAGAATAAGAAAAGTTCAAGCAAAGAGGTACCGCTTCTAAAAGCTGTAGAAGGTTTGAGTGTTGACAAGCGGATTAATTTTAAAATGTTGTACAGGGTGTTTGCTTTGAATTCAAACAAAATAGAAAAAAAAAAGTGTATGTGTGCGAGAGGGGGTGCGACAGTTACATGGATGCCGAAGGATAACCACCACAATATTTATAATTAACTAAAATTTGTCAATTCACTTTTTAATTAACACTTTTATGAGTTATGCTGCAATTGCTACCAATTTAAACGATGTGCAGAAAGGAAATGGAATTTTAGATATTCATCTATGGGTTTTCGGAATTTTTTTTTTTTTTTTCGAATATATCACTACATATCACGGTGGGCAAGAATTGCGGCACTACTCTGCTGCATCGGGTTTGTGGATCAGGTGACAATAACACATAAAACTCATAAATTAATATCTTAAAGCCCGTTGCTACTTTGCAAATTGAATTCAGCTTAGTCTTCAGCTGACAGTAATTATACTTAAGTGCTGAACATCACATAAATCCCCTTTTAACATTCAATGATGTCAATAAACATGCAGTGAAGGTGATATTCATGCAACTGTTACCCCCCTCTTCTGTTTTAAATTATTCGAACTAAAAACTAACACCGTGTACATTACGTTGTTCAGGATCTCGCACCAGTGAGAGCAAATCTGTCAAAACGACGGCATTGATGGTCACCGTACACTTCACAATAAAAAAAGAACTTGGAATATTGTCTCCTAGTCACTGTGGTGGGGTCAAAAGGGAGTGTTGCGATGAAACTTCTGCATTTGGTCTCTTTGGTAAAGCACGATTAATATTCATTAGAAGCGGGATTGGAAGATTAGAAGCGGGATTGGAAGTTAGTAAACACATTTATTTGAAGAGCAGTTGATAGGAAGTTCTAGTGGATTGTTCCGACACTTGATGACATGGTGCATGCGCAAAGGCACGGGCGGAATATTGTGTATTGTTACCGGAACAATTTACTAAAACTCTCTAATAATGCCAAAAGCAGTGAAGGAACTGCTTTCAGTTTGTACTGTATTCATCTATCCAGATGCTTGCTAACAAATCTCTCCAAAAATAAAGAAAAATATACTTTGATGATTATTCTGTCGTTAACGAAGTCAGCAATATTTTTGCAAGGCTTATTAATTTGAGAAATATAGCGAGCCAGGGAAAGCACCTCTCACCTCTTTCCACTTTAGCAGAGGGAATGCTGGAAAGGAGGAGACCCAATCTCCAGCGTTTGCACCACTAAAGTGCAAGAGGTGTGAGGACCTTCCTCTGAAATCTTAACCCGACACCGACTATAGCAACCATTTCCACTCTAGTAGTGGCGTTACAATGGCCTGGAGGCCTCGCCAGAAATTTTTGAGGGGGAAGGAGGGGGAGAGAGCATCTGCTCGGCTCTCCGGAGTCAGAAGGGCAGAGAAGGAATGTTTCCAGATGAATCATATTCTCCACGAACTGCATCATCACAGAGAGGTGAGAGGTTTCATCACTGAATAACGGTGAAACCTTAGAGTATAACATGTAGTTTCATATGTTTAGCAAGCATAAAGAACTTCTTCAGAAAGGCACCGCCATCTTGAAATATTGTCACTTCCAGTATGGGCGAAAACATTGTTTTGCAGTTGCCATGCCAATTGAATCCATTTACGATATAAGCGTAACTGGCACCCATTCTTGTTTTGTTTCCCCTCTATTTTTTTACTATTTGCAGGTTGAAATGATTTCTTATTTTTTCGTCGCCCATACCAGATAGGTCTACCAGGTGGCTGGGGAAGAGAGCAAGCGAAAAAGGTCTATAGACCAGGCTGCAGTTCTGAAAATTCCTCATTACCAGGCTACCCTTTTAAAGCAGCATCTCTTACCAGGCGCTGGAGACCCGTTTCCCACTGCATCCAAAGCAGTTTGAGGTACACCAAGAAATGCTAGCAATACAGTCAATAATCACCGACACAGGTTTCAGTCATTGCCAAAATTGTAGAAATCTTAGTTTATTCCATACAAAAACCAAAATTATATAAACGTAGCATGACATGAAAAATGCGTTGCGGACGATACTCCAATTAAAAAAAAGGGGACATTCCAGTGAAAAAAATTCATACCGAGTGCAATCTGGCTAATGTACACGTTGATTGTTTCTTATTTGTCCCATCTGAAAAGCAACCCCAACATAAAATGGAAATCGGAGGAGTGTAATTGAGACCCATCAGTGACTTCACTCCTCAAATCGCATTGGCACGGTCACTGAAAAAAACGACGTGTGAATAACCTAATAAAATAATTCCATCGCGATGCGCAGATCTGGCGCAGAGCGCACGCTCAGATCAGGAGGCGTAGGTTTCCTGCACCTTCTGTAGGAGGGCATCGCACGTCTTCTTGGCATCTCCTAGAAGCATGCTTGTGTTTGTCTTGTAGAAGACGGGGTTATCCACTGCGGCGTAGCCCACGCCGAGACTCCTCTTCATCACAATCACCTGCAAAGGTTGGTGATGAAATGATCGTTTGCGCCTTCGAAGCTATATTTTGCGCGCAGTGTACCAGAATCCAAAAACGAGGCTTTTCGAGAGCTTCGTTTGCTAGGTATTCCTGCTAGATTCAGCTATCCTCACTAGCACCGACTATACATCAACTCAACTCTGACAAAACAGCGCAAAAGAGACAAATAAAAAAGGGAGGACCACACAGGACAGCTCTTGTTTTGTGTAGTCCTCCCCTTTTTGTCTTTGCCTGTTTCACGCTGTTTATTCACGATGAATTCGTACCAACTTGCCCAGTTGTCCATTCTACTGAACTCCGACGTCACATCACTGCGGTGAGCGGCTGTCGGCACTGCACGTCTTCAGACGCTTTGTTTTGTGTGAATTTGGCTTCCGTTCATGTGCAGTGTCCACACCTGGTGTGCGCGTATGCGGGGTTTGTTTGTAAACAGTGTGTTGGTGCAAGGTAAAACCCATTAAAACATCTGCACAAAGCAGAATTTAGATCAGGAAACGAAACTCGGCCTTCTGTTATTCAGTTGCAAACTTAAAAAAACATGAAAAAAAAAAAAAAATTTAAACAGCCTAAAATAAAGGGCATGATAAAATAAATTTAAAATGAAAAAATATTTTTACAGCTGTATTTACGGCGTGAAATGAATTTGTAGTTGGCGCTTGCAGGAGCCGCCGCCGCAAGTTACGCCGGAGCCGTTTAGCGCTGTTGCTGAAGTCCCCCAGCACCCCCACGCCGCCTCCCCCGCTGCAAGCCGAGTGTGGCGTGCCGCCGGCTGAAAACATGTTTTTTTTTTTTTTCTTTATATGTAAAAATTTTAATTTGGGGGTTTTACGTGCCAAGCCAATGAGGGGCATTTGGCACACCCAGGCGAAGGATTGAGGATTAATTTAGACCACCTGGGGATCTTTTGACGTGCAACCGAAAGTTCGGCTACACGGCGCCTTCTCCGAAATTAGCATCCGTCAGATTGCGGACAGCTCGTCCGGGATTCGAACCCGCCACATGAGGATCCGTAGGCTGGCGCTTTGCCTCTGAGCCACCGAGGCGGCTTTTCTTTATACGTGGAAAGTAATTTAAAATATTCTTTCAAATACAAAAAACAACCTTCACAAATCCTATCCAGTCGAAAAATAAAGAAATAAAAAAGTTCTGAAAAAATTTATTATCATGTGACTTATTAGTGACTCTTCTCCACGCCGCCGCCGTCAATTTCTGGCCGGCACACAGGTCTATCAAGTGGTGCTTGCGCTCTTTCGGGAGCTTCATATGGGCTCTAAAAGTTACCTATTAATCTTAGTTTTTTTTTTTTTTTTTTTTTTTTGTTGCACTTAGAACGAAGATTAAAAGGCTCGAGGCACACCTAAGCACTTCTTACAAGTTGTGAATGCAAAAGCATGCGCGCCGTTCTTCCGCTCCCGTGTTTCGTTTGCGGCATATTTACGTCGGCCTTGCGTGCACTCTCCCAGCTCTCCTCGCAGCTTTCACCTTGGAGGCTTCGTGTCACAGATGCGCTTGCGGCGCGGACACGCAGCGCCAAGGGGCGGTGGTCATTGAAACTGACACGCACGGCGGCTAATGGGAGCCTCGTCGATGCATGCCAGTCAACGGGACCGAAGGCGAAATCCATCAGCTTTACTCTGCTCCTTTGGGATCGGGGAAACTAGGTGCCGCTGTCTAGGCTTTTCGCGTGGTTTCATAGCTGGGAGCTGGCTTCACTTGGAGAAATGATTTAAGGTGCCGTTTGGTGCGCTTTAAACTTATGACGTCGGCTCGCTCCATGGGACAGTTAATGCTTTTGCATCAACTTTTTTTATAACATTTTTTTTATAACTTTCTTTTTCCATCCAGGCTGTTTAAAAAATTTTTCTTTTTCCCTTTGCGTATGGATTTGTCAGGCGCCCAAAATACCGAAACTAAGATGTGACAGGAAAATGAAAGTCCCGCCGCAAGGAGACCTCAGCCACAGTGCAAGCGGGTGGCGGGTAATCGCAAGCTGGGTGCAATACTTTTGGGTCCCATGGTTGTGACAAATGTGTGTCTCATCTTGACATCTCTTTAAACACAAAGGTTTTAGTGCCTTTTTTCCCTCATAGTATTTGTACAGTGAGTCTGAAGCAGTCAAATTCACCACCGAATCGCACAGAAAATATTTTTGCAAAATCGAATGACTCCCATGGTTCTTTTGATGATGGCAGGCTAGAAATTTAAAAGTAAATTCGTGAATTTTACGTTATTATTTAGCTAATCCTGGTGTTGCACTCGCGCCCAGACGTTGGTAACAGTTAATAACATTACACTGAAAAGGTCGCTTCTTTATTTCAGGTGCCCTCTTTTAATCCTAGTCAGACTAAAATAAATACTATATCTGACAACCAACAAAGACATACAGTCCAAGAACACATAAGCAAGGTTCTATTATAAAGGCACACTGCAGATTCATGCGAGATACAACATTCCCTAAAATGAGGTCATAAGGCATGTGGTCCCACAAGATCCCTTTTACAATTTTTGCAACAGCTGACGAGAACAAAATCAGGGCACGCCGTACCTTCTTGGAATTCCACACCTTGAGGACAGGCATGCCTGCAATGATGGAGTTGGGGTCTTCCTCGGCAGCAGAGTTGACGGTATCATTGGCACCGATCACGAGCACCAGGTCAGTCTTGGAGAAGTCATCGTTGATCTCGTCCATCTCCAGGACAATGTCGTAGGGGACTCCCGCCTCGGCCAGAAGGACATTCAGCTGGCCAGGCATACGTCCTGTTGGACAGCGAGTGAATAATGTGGGGAGGCAGAGAAGAACACAGTCTGGGTCTCTAGCCAGCAGCACAGATTGATTGATTTAATAAGTTTTAGTGGCGCAGAAGCCAAACTTGACCGAAGAGCAGCAATGACGTTACAAAGGCATTAAACAACTTTCTGCGACAGTGTTTTTGTGGTCGTAACTCAATCTATGGGCTCTAAGCATCCTAAAAACCAAACATTACATTTATGCGTGACAAATTTCTCTATTAAAACCGGTATAAAAAAGTTTATTACCTCGGAACCACCACAGACACCATAGGGTGTCTGTGGTGTCTGTCTCGTCCAATGATACCACCTGGCATTTATCTTTTGATACCAATTTTAATAGAGAAATCTGCTGCGTAATAATTTAAGGTTCAATGTTTTAGGATGCTCAGAGCACATAGATTGAGTTATGACCACACATAGACTACAGCAGAAATCATTGCTCCACCACTCCACAAGTGGTGCAGCAATCACATCACTGCTATTGAGAACTGTCCTGGTAGCAGGTTGGTTCTTCTTAGGAATTTCCAATAGAAGGCATAGTCAACAAAAGAAGCACAACTTAAGCCTCATGAAAACAAAACACTGTGCCTATTTATCTCAAGTTCCATAAGCTGAAAACAAAACAATTTCAAAATGAAATAGTATTATATAAAATAAAGCCCAATACTTACTGACCAGAGGTTTTGTTATAAGGAAATAGAAACATTTCAAGTACCTGTGTAGCAAACATAAATGCATTCCAATACTCAAGTTAACAGAGTATCTACTCTATCTGATAAAAGTATGAATGCAAAATATTGAAAATTTTATGTCATCCCTGCTCATACATGTATATGCACCTAAGACCTTACTACAACAAGCATGACTGTATTGAACAAAAAAAGCTTGTTTAAGAGTTTGATAAAAAAAAAAGTGACTGACAAAACTAGCAAGTATGACCATAAAACGGAAGCTTTTCCTCGTAAGTCAATTGTTTGGATGCATTCTAGCCCAATGGTTTAGAGTTTGCGCTGCTCAGCAGGACATTCTCACTGTTTTCATTGTCCTCCCGCCGGCTTGCTGTTTGTGTGCCAGCATGTGCATTCGCCACATACCTCATTTACAAGGAAGTTTACATTTGAAGAAACCAATTATCGCTTTTATTGTTACGTTTACGACGCAAATAAGGAGCGCAGAAGCATTCTCAGCAGAAAACAAACACCCTAAACACTGAAAAACAAAATATGCCAAATGTTTGTTTAATTTTGGAGTAAAGTGCTTATCACTTGCCCCAGAGGCTAGGTGGCAGGTGAACAGCTGCCAGCAGGCTCTTAGGTGCGTTTATATACCCCGACGCGTGACGCGGGCTGTACGTTCGCTAACCGAAGCTGCTGTGGCGTTTCTAGTTTTTTTTTTTTTTTTTTTTTTTTTGTGTTGTATTTTGTGATTTGTTATGTCGGACTATTGGTACTTGCTGCCAGAGCCCAAGCAGGAGCAATACAGCGAGAACCTGTGCGTTGACAGAGGTTGGCTCTACAAGTTACGTGTAAAGGAAACTTTGCGAGTTCAAAGTTTCCTATTTTTTTCTCCCTGCTACAGTCTCCGGTGTTAATCATCATAATTAACTATCCCCAGCCTCGCTTACACACTCCCCCACGTTTCATTAATGACACCACAGACATCGCGAATTCGCGTTCCACGGTGCGATAAGTGAGCGGGAATTCGCTATGAACTCCCCTGTCGCGGGCATGGCAGCAGAACGTGGACGCAGCGCATTCATGTTTCACAATGCGATTTTCACACAAGAACCCACTACAAACTCAGGTGTCACGAAAACCAACATCGAGCATATAGAACAAAAAGAAAAAAAAAAAACTTTGGGAACGAGTTGGGAATTTGCTTGTCGTAGACTGCAGACGCTGCAGATTCGCATGTCATGGAGCGATAAGCATGAAAGAACCAGTGGCGAACACGCCTGTCACACGCACCAGTATTGCAGATTGTGCAGTTGATGTGATTCCTGTCAGACATTGTGTGATTGATATCAGGCAGGAATCGAGAAGGAGAGAAGGAGGTGGGGGGGGTAATTTTGAAGCATTTATGTTACAGATATTCAGCCCAAAAAAAGGGGGATGCACAATATCTCGGGGGTGGGCGTTCATACGAGACTTTACAGTATACACGATTTAAAGCGTGCAGTATTTCACACTTTGCTAAAAAAACAAATGAGTAAACAACAAATTTATGTTTTAGTACTTCTGACAAAGCCACCCACGATGTCCCATTTTCGGAGATCAGACACCTACACGCCGTTGTTGGCTGAGCTGTGGCATTGACGGCACAAAGCAAAGCACCCAAACAAGTGCTTCCAAGGCACTGGCACGGAGAACAGAAATAAATGCGAGACTTTTATTGTGTTGCTCGTACTCGTCCAACAACAATAAAAGCATTTGCTTTTCCTCGGGTTTGATAGGGACGACTTACAACCAACTCGCATGGTCCTCCCTCGTGCTGCTGACGCTTGACGGCTCATCAACATGAGACCATGAAATGAAACGGAACACAGTCTTTTATCTGGCCCGGAATAAATCATGATCATTCTCCTTAGATGAAAATTGGCACTTGGTACCTGTTTTCATCAAATGAGTATCATCTGTTCTGACACTAACACAACGACATCAGTATAGTAGATATATAGTTTTGGCGCAAGATTTGCGCATTGGAGAAGGATGGCACAGCGAAAGTGGATTGGCACACAATGATGCAACGCTTCCACCCCTAAACCATGTGATCGCACGCCTCATCGACATCACGCAGCAGACAAGGGCCATATAACGCAGTGCCTGTGCAGCGCACTCGTTCGCTCGGTCTCGCCCTGGCTAGCATATGTGCTGCACAGTAAAAAAAACTAGCACAAACAACACACAGTGTGGTTTGTGCTATTGTTCCACACATTTGCGCGAAACATGGCGGGAAATATTCAGTGCTCTCTGGTCTTTGTCAGCATGATCAAGCGAACGAGTGTTTTTTTTTTTCTCATCTTAGTTTGGGTGTTTGCAGGCCTTCTAATACGAGCTTTTGATTTATCTGCTCTTCTCCCAACTCTCCTGGATCTAATAAATTAAACGAGATACCGACCTCCCCAGGAACTTACCGGCCACAGGATGGATGCCAAAGCGCACGTTCTTCCCGGCGGCCTGGAGCGTCTTGATCATCTCGGCGAGCGGGTATTGGGCCTTGGCCACGCACAGGCCATAGCCGGGCGTCACAATGATGTTCTTGGCGTCCCTGATCATGGACACTGTCTCGGCGATGTCCACTTCCGTATGGGTGCCGGTGATGGCCATTGGCTTGCCGCCGCCCGTGCTGGACGTGCCGTAGCCTCCCAGGATCACGTTGGGCAAAGACCGGTTCATGGCCTGGTCGAGTCACACACAACCGGTCGGCATAGACTCTGGCTCTAATGGCCGCCTACAGCTTCCAGCCCAACAGTACAGGGTGTCTCCCCCCAAAAAAAGTTAGTGTTTTCTTTACTGCAAAAATAAACTATGCATTGCCGAACGTTGTTCTTCTGCCCGAATGTAGCAGCTAGCGGTTCGAACCAGACGCCAAAGTCTCAGAACTGACCATTATCTTGTTCAAAAGTTGCGAGTCATTTTCGGAAAATTTCAATGGGAAAATGGCGGCCGACGGAGTCCTCAAAGACTCACGATAATGAAGGGTAAAATGTCGCATGGGATGCCTCTAACAGACTAAGCTAGGAATTCGGCTACCACACTGCAACAACAGCAAATATGGCAGTTCGTTACAACCTTTTTTTTTTACAGGTTAACACATCCAGGGCTCCCCGCATAGCTTTCGTGCCGCAACGGCCGGAACGCCGTTTGGCCTGCTCATACTGCCGTGCCCTGTACAAATTCCTCTAAGGCTAGAAAAAAAAAAAACGGGCATGACAAACATTTTTTAGGGAGAAAATCTTGACTGTTTTTTTTCTTTCTGGCTGGGATGCCAAGACACATTCCCACCCTGTGATGCGCGAGATGTCGATGTCTTCTGAACCCGCTTTTTCCTAAAAGCAGCGGAACAAGGAGTTAAATATAATGAGTTTTGTCTTAAGAAGATAGATCCTTAATAAAGCTAACATTATGTCCGTAAGTACAGCAATATTTTTCTAAGGTTCTAAACAAATGCCTATCAGCGATGTGCAACTAAGATCAAATGACCAATGATGCTACTAACAGTTGCCTATTAGATTTGCTTTCTACTAGCAATAGCTTTGCACTGCTAAGGTCCATTTCCAAAAGACTGCCCATCCTGTTTACAGACTAAATATTATTACTATGAATAGCACCAAAACACTGCCCACTCCTACAATTGTAGCCTTTTCAACCCCCCCCCTTCCCCCCACATGGGCACTGCCATCTTGGAATCACGTGATGTGGCCACAATTAGGTTGCTTCAACTTGTTGATCCAGTCTCCCCTCCGTGCTACTCTGCGCCTTGGCAGATGTGTTAAATTTGTGTTTTTCGTCACGTTTCACCAGGTTTCTTACCTTACTCCAAAAAGTGTTGTATGATACTTATACTTAGCGCGTAATTGCATTACTTAATTATGTGCACAACTTCTGCAGTTAGTTTTGTAACAAGTTTCGACTATTTTTAGCGTCGGCGTGCCAGATGCGCGTGAAGAGGCTATATGGGCACATGAATCAGCATTAGCGCTCATGCACTTTGAGTACATACATATTACTTGAAAACAGCACGAGGGTTCAAAAGTCAGTAACCTATGAGAACTCAGGTTTGCTTACTAATAGTGGCAGAACATTCACAATAGGAAGAACAAGGTAAGTATATATATGATCACGCATTTAGGATCTCAGGGAAGGTGATAAAATTACTCAGCATAAATAGCCATGCGTGTTTCCTGAAAGCATTGTGTTTTGTATTTATAATATATCGAGAACAGTTGCTTCTGATTACAGTATAAGGGAGAACTCGTGGACAAGATAGAGTACAAACGTTAAATTTGAAATTTTTTATGCTAGAAATAATAGTACGTCAACGTCAGACAATTCACTTACAATATCACCTACATCTGTTTAACGTTCTTAATCGTTTTTTTGGTAAAAAGATTTCAGTGATGCGATTGGCCTAAGCCATTTTGGAGCACCTTTTGGAGCAGCCAAAACAGTGTTTCGGAGCTAAAAAAGTGAATTTTGGAGCATATATTCTTAGAAAAAAAAATCTTTATTTTAAGTGCTGGACAAACGAAGGGCACTGTGTTGTGTTGTGACGTGTTGGGGCGGAACTCGCTGCTTGTGTTTTTGCTGCCGAGACATCCGACAAGTATACAGTGCTGTAAACGTTGCCAAAAATTCCGAAAAAAAAAAACAAAAAAAAACATTTGCTATTGTTTTACTGCTTCCCGACGTGGCAGATTTTTATAAAAAGTAAGCAAATGTAAAACAATGGATTGCAAGCGTCCCGGCTGGTGCCTCTCGTGCAATCATGTTCACATGCACATGAAGGCAACTTCGGCAGGCTTGCAGTTACACATGCTTCGTCGCGCGAGCGGAGACAACGGCTGTTCGACCGAAACCCTGCCACTCCGCTCCGTCGCCAACTGGTTCCCAAAATAGTATGCAAAATGTAACTGTCCAGCATACGACAATAAACAGTCCAGCGGCGCGTGCTTGCCAGGCCGGCAGCCGAGGTACAGGCTATACACACAGAAAAAAAGAACCTGAGCGTATCGATGCAAGACATTGCGAATCAGGCTCAAAAAGTTCTTGGGCCGCTTTGTGCAACGACTGAACTCGAGACAAACAAGCGCGCTGTGCGGGTTCAAGCTGCAGACATTGCTTTCTTTGCTTTAGCTCACTTCTCGTCATCAACTTTTTTTGTGGCAGATTTTTCCCGTACCGGGGTCCCTCTCGAAAAAAAGCTTATCGAGAGAAACCTAGGTAATCCAAACTTCGCCAAGCAGTCATTGAGTTAAAGAGGGATTTTTGTAGCAGCGTATGATTTAAACAAGAACAGGAATGTCGATGCGTTTCAGTTTAAAAAGCGCCATATCTGCAGCGACGTGGGGACGGCAACACATGACGTCGCAAAACCACGGCTACTGTGGTCGCGCGAGCGCTTCAGCTCACAAAGTAACTCGCCGCGCAAGGAACTCTCGCCGCGCGGCATGTCTGGCACTCGGCACACTAACATCGGAGCGTTTGCACAGGCCCGCGTCTATCGCTAAAAAAATATTTAAAAAAAATAAAAAAGTAAGAAAGACGCCAGACGAGATTCCCGAGACGACGAGAGCGCGAAACGCGAGACGACGGGAAAAATCATGCAAGACCGAATAGACGATTGATGCAGGGTACTTTGTGTCCGGCGGCGTCTTTTGTGCCACCAAGCTCATGCATGCTCAATTACGGTTCTCAGTTTAGTTTCGTTTTTGAAAGGCGACCAAAATTGGTCCTTTGGCGCAGGCTTGGCACAGATTAGCCACATTTTGGCGAAATGTAGCAGGATGTAGCAGGGTTAGCCCCTTGGCGCAGTTTGGCGCAATTGGCGCAGCAATCACATCACTGAGATTTGCTTGATAGGTTTATTTATGAATTCCAAGAAGCTATACCGTGCTTGGTCCCATGTCTACAGCCTTTTAATTGCCTAAATGATTTTCTTAGGATAACCACGCAGTTCATTTCAATTAATTATTTTCAACAAAAAATATTGGAGCTCCCCGCGTAAGAAACTGTCACAGACAGGTTGAAAGTGCCTGGGGTACAGAATACGTGACACCGAAAAGAATCTGTCCGCATGAAGATCGCCCGAGTGCAACGCTGTCGACGGCGAATAGGGATTTACTTTTATTAGCTGGCGACGCCGAAATCTACAAGGGGCATCGCTTCAAACCAGTAAAGAGCTTTTACATAGACTTCGACTTCATCCAAACCTTCCATATATCACTTCTTTAGCACCCATTAATTTTATTTGGCAAATTTTATGCAAGGCGGATGTTACTTATACCTTGAGAACGTCGTAAGCAAATGTCCATACAACAAATAGTCTATTTTATAAGGCCAATATTATGAAATGTTGTTAATAAGTACTTCAGTTAAAGAAATTTTCTAGTTGGCCTAAGTTGGTCTATAAAAATATTTCTCTAACTTAATTTTTTTTTTTAATAAAACAGGCCGAGACAATATTACTTGTTATATATTCTCTACTTCATTATAGGAAACTTTCCAGTGCAAAGGTCATAAAAACTTAAAACCAAACATCGAGCAGTAAACTTGTCCGGTCATTTGTTCTTCACGATTCAGTACATTGTTAATCATGTTTTCAACCTGCTTCTTCACTAAGCACTCATGCATTGTAGTTTGTTACAGTATAAGATGAGCAGCAGAATCCCTGAATTGAGCGCGAGCTATCTATCTTCGGTACCACATGGTGCACGCACAGCCAAAGCACGGCGGCAGGCAAAGAGCATGCTGGAGCGGTTGGAGGCGGAGCTGGTCCTGCACCTTATTATTTACTCATTTTTCTGGAAACTAGTGTCCGCGGGTACGGCCGTGAATGATGTCAATCCTCCCTGTGCATCAGCGTCATTTTTTCACTGCCGAACATGGTCAAAATGAACGATGGACGTAATCAGACGAATTCGGTGTTCGTGAAAGTGCTCGCAATTTAGGCTCGAAACCACTTCCTGGTTTTCCAAGTGGCTCAGTACCATTGTTTCATTCGCTGTGTGCTACAAGAAAGAAATTTGTGTCATAAAACAAGCGAAAACAGCAGGAAATAGAAACACAATCGAGCACACGTTGAAACCGAATCCAACCAAATTGAAGCAACCTTATGGCGGCGTGTGCACCAGCGCCCTCAACCCAACGGTCAGGCAACTACTCAAATGAAAAGGTCTATAGCCATGTCCAATGGGACCGTCTCCACCTGTCACACTCCCAGTAAAAGCTAACTCGTGGTGTGGAATCACTCCAAACTAGGTGGATTAAGCGAGAATTGGGGTAACAACTCACGTAATGTATTTTGGCCCCTTTACTATGCAATCCAGCAGAAATCAATGATCATAGTGCTTGAAATTCTTACAGAAAGTTAATGATGAAAAACCCGCTCCTGAGAATATTTGTAGGCAAACTTCAACAGTAAACAGTGGAAGCCCCTGGAACTGAAAATAATTTTCTAAACTCACTATAGTGTTATGCCGAAGTACTTAGAGTAATTGTTGAGGCATTGCTCCTAGACCATTTTAATTGCAAAACCAACACATGGAAAACTCTTTGGCTTGACAAAATATGTTGACATTCCCGCATCACCCATTTGCCATGTGTAGTCCCTATTTTAATTTCCTTCTCCCTGGATTTCGATTATAATGCCTACCTCATATTCAGAGACTGCTGGGTGTTTACATAACTCTCCTTACTTCAGCAATGGCACAGCCTAGTACACAAACTCCTCTTCGGCTCGGCTAGCACCGAATGGCTGCCATCAGAAAAACTGTAACCTCTATTTTCAGTTCCACAAGGAGTAATAAAATAAGCGTTAGAATTTTGGTCGGTGTCCCGCCACCGGAAACTGACCTTGCACATGATGTAGGAGAGGATGGCTCCTGAGGAGCCAATGAGAGCCCCCACAATGGTCATGAGATTGTTGTTGAGCATGAACCCTTCAGCACAGAGGGCCCAGCCGGAGTAGCTGTTGAGCACCGTGATAACCACGGGCATGTCCGCACCTGCACACGGGTCACTCACTTCAGACAACGGAACAACGCAGTACACATCCTTTGCTTTTACAAACTACTTTTATCAAAGAAAAAAAAACCAGTGAAGTAGTCAAGAAAGGAAAGTGAAAATAAAATTTACTAGAGTACCACGAGTTCATTTAGTACTTCTTGGGCAGCATGTTACGTGGGATGACACTGAGACCTATTCTGTAAGGGACAATTTTTATTTCAAGCCACAGTCTTAAAGCAGCAGCTTCGCGAAGATTACCTACAGAAGTGAAAGAATGGCTGACAAAAAGCGAGTAGCGAGGTTTCCAAAATGTTCCACATGTTCGTAGACATTGAAAAACATCCAATTGTCACACCAAAGAAAAAGAAAAGTAATCCAACAGACTCCTTTTTGCCCTTACCCAAGTGAGCCAATTGTGTCTGGGTGTCTTACCTAACCTCTGACAACAGGAAAATATTTTATAACATTTTCGGTGTTCATGTTATCAGCTATAACCTCAACAGTAGGTTTGCAGTGACCTATTTTTAAAACAACGCTAAAAACAAAACTGAAACGCAATGGGGCTCACAGTTAAGGTATCAGTGACCCGAGTGTGAGCGCAATGCAGCTCAGAGCAGGTGGAGCGAAAGCTCACGCTCGGAACCCAGGGGTCCTGGATTTAATCCCCACCCCAGCCCATTTCGATCTGAATGAGCATTGTATCCTTGCATGTTGATGTGATCATTACTAACTGATGCATGCTAAATACAAAAAGTTATCAGTTATACTCCACTAGCCAAATTAGTAGTCATGCGCAAATAGTGGATTTTGAGTTCGAAGAGGCTATGAAACCAATAATGGTTTTGAATAAATATTTTCTAATCAAAATCTAAAACTTTCTTCAAGCCTTTCAGTGCCGTTGCAACATGCTTAAACGAAAACCCAGCTAAACTCGTGAAGGAAGCTTCCGCTTGTTTTTTTATAAGCTAATTTTAATCTCACTATATTTATGAACTGTAACCTTAGGACATCTGATGCCTTGGGATGGTAAGCAAACAAAAGATTTTGCATATAATTAATTTTATAAAGATACCCCAGCTATAGACCTTTGCGAAAAGAGCTCCCTGGCCGCCACCATTTTGCGACTCGAGCGACCCCTATCAGCCAGAAATTTCTGCCACTCGCCTGAGCTGTGGAAACCCGGTCAGCGCGACTCCCCACCAGCATTGTGCATTTGGAGTTTGCTGGCTTTCCTTGAAAGTCTTTACTTTATTTGGCTGTTCAGGATGATTACATGTTTTGTGTTATCTTCCACTTCGAGAATCAGGGAACACCAGGGAACATCAGGGCTCATAGCCTGCTGGGCCTTCGCAGGAAATTAACGAAAAAAGCAAACGTCAGGCAGCCCGCGACGTGGGCCGTTCGACGTTCTTCGAGGATTATTTCCGTTGAAATAATCTCCAAAAAGCCTTCCCGGCTATGTTCCCAGTCTTGGCAAGAAATCTCTGATAGGGTCCAGGGTATAGGGACAGACTAGAAACGTTCATTCATTTGCTTTGCTGCTGTGCAAAGAGGCACCACTCTTCAAACCGTGCCCCAAGACAAGATGGATTCCGTCCGACCGTCGTGAAGTGACTATCGTTGCCACCGTATATAGGATATGCTGTGTTATTTGATACCTCAAATCCTGTTCGGATAATGCGGCACCATGGGGTACGTACGATATATGTTTGACGTTAAATTTTATGTTGTGAGCGGGAAATACCCATGCAGTTCGGCTATCCTGTGGTGTGTTCAAATATTTTCGGCAGTTAGGACCTTTGTAGATTGACATGGTGCCGTAAAAAAAATCAACATAAAATGAAACTAACATTCCAGTTGCATTTGTTCTGTCGCGCACGGACTCACCAAAACAGCTTTCATTTGTTTGTTTTCGTTCTCAAAAATAGTGCAATGCTTTCTTAAAAATATCGATATATTCGCTTCGCCATAAAACAAGAAAAAAAAAAAGTGAGGCAATTCAGTTGCCACCAGCGTCCGGAATTGCGCCTACGCAGGCTGCCACAGCCTACTGTCGAGGAAACCCACAGCCCAGCGCAGTTGGGCAACACTGATGTACACTCTCAAAACCAAAGACGCACGCTGTAAATCACTTTGTTCAAGACTGCCGCTGGAAAGGTCTATACCCAATTTAGTAAATGTGCAAATCTCACTATTGCAAAAAAGTTTTTAATCCCAAATTAAAAAAAATTGTGAATACAGGTTGTCAGGGCATCTCTGCCTAACATGTATTCTTGCATAACAGCCACAGTTTAATTTTAAAACTTTTACTGCAATGAAGATATCAACATTTACAATGTTTTTGTTTCTTTTCAAATACACCAGGCGTGTGCACGCACCATCCTGCTTTGGAAGCGCTTTTCTCCCAGGCCCGCAATTGCGACATTCAAACTTCTTCAAAGTATTGATCGCGGTGAGTTACCCCGTTCAGTGTGCTCCATCCGTGCACCGGAGCACTGCGCAGAAGCACTTGCGTCTCCACAGTGCACCAGTGCTCGGTAAGCGGCGCACTCAACAGCGCTAACCCGCAGTGATCAACACTTCGAAAAATATGAATATCGCAGTCCTACTCAAAGCGAATATCAAATAATGTATTATTCGAACGTACTATACAAAATTTTGAGTATTCACACAACAATACAAATTACTCGTCTGCAGCGGAGCCACCAGATTACCTTGATGCTGCCTAAACATCCCTACAACTGCTCTGATATGCGACACCGGTATAAACTAACTCAAGTAATAAAATTAAAAAAGTTCTCAGAGATGCCGGCGGTATTGCAGCAAGCCCACTGACCTCCGATGGCAGAAGTGAGCGTGAATCCCATGAGTGTGGACAGTGCAGCCGTGGTTCCCAGGCAGCCCAGGCCAACCGCCATGCTGTCGTCCATGAAGTAGTAGGCCATGGCACCAACGTTGGCTGCCAAGAGGCCACTGTTGAGCACGTGACGACCAGGCAGCAGCAGGGGAGCGGAACTCAGCAGGCCTGTTCCGTTCAAGACAACAAGAAAGCGAGAAGGCTAAGTCAATAGGCGTGATACCCAACTCATCAATCTCCATAGCAGTGGTTCTCAAATGGGGATTTGCGGACCCTTTGGGGTCCCTGGAGAACTTCCTGGGGTCCCTGAACCCCTCAACCTTTGGTAAAGCTGAGCAATTAAGCTTTTTATTTTATTGATGCTGGCTGTCCCACAAAGTTAATTAAACTAAACTGTTTGTGCTGAGTGAGTAGGGCTGATTATTCTTCAAATCAGAGCTTCAAAATGAGTTTGCATGCATCTTTTTTCTTTACCCTTTTGTCATTGTAATCATCTAATAACCCCTCTCCCCCTAGGTGGATGGGGGTCCCCCATAACTTTTGTCAATCCAGAAGGGGTCTTCAAAACATCAGTGGTTGAGAGTCACTGCTCCATAGAATGCCCGCATCAGAGAAGAATGCCCGCATCAGAGAAAAATGCCCAATTGCTCTGCATTTCTCACTTGCCGTGGCAAACTCTGGTATGCCAAACCAAAACGAGCAATGGGAAGTAACGGTAGATCTGTCACATTTTTCTGGTAAGTGTGTTTCTGATATTGCCGTGCGCGCAGCTGGCCAAGTAGGCAGCGCGGCTGTGGCTTAACGGTTATCATGCTTGCCTCCCACACGAAGAGCCAGGATTCAATTCCTGGCTTTTATTTATTCTTGCAATTCAGTGTTCTGGTATATTCGAGAATCTTGTTGCTTGTTCGAGGTTCGAATGTTCTATGCACCAAACCTTCTACGCCGATTGTTCCAGAAGCCCACGCATGTACAGGGTGTCACAAAAGAAAATTTACACAGTCTTTTAGTGCAAAAAATAAACTAGGCATCGCCGAACACTCATTCTCCGCCCAAAGGTAGCGCTAGAGGTCACAACCAGATGCCAAAGTTTCAGCCCGATCCGATAACTTAATCAAAAGTCATAAGTGATTTTCTGAAAATCTCAATGGGAAAATGGCGGCCGACGGAGTTTGGACATGGGGCTCTATGGCACCAAAAACCGAGAACGGGCAAAAATGGGCTTCATTTTGCCTTGGACTTGGGTTTGGGCTAGAAAAGAATAAACAGTTGTTAGTCTGCACCCATTCGTGTTCGTTGTGTTTCCCCTCATCTCAATGTAAACTCATCCTTTTCCTTTCAATTTTTGGTCACGCATTTGTTCTGTAGAACTTCGCAGCGCAGCACGTCTATCAATTCATTTTCCCATTGAAATTTTCAAAAAGTCACTTATACCTTTTGAGTAAGTTATCGGATCGGGCTGAAACTTTGGCATTTGGTTGTGACCTCGAGCTCCACCTTTGGGCGGAGAATGAGCGTTCGGCGATGCCTAGCTTATTTTTACGGTAAAAAAATGAAAGTCATTTACAACTCCCTGTAACGCCGAATTAGAGCGCAGCTCTTGAGGAGGAGGAGGGAAGGGTACTGAAGGGGGGGGGGGGTCATGTGACCTCGGGGGGTCACATGACCTTGACGATGACGATCCGATGACGTCGATGACGATGCGGATGCCAATGACGTCATCAGTGATGATGACGATGACGATGCGGATGCCGATGACGTCATCAGTGATGTCACTGATGACGTCATCAGTAATGATGACGATGACAATGAGGATGCCGATGTCACCAGGTTGCATGCAACCTGGATTGCATGCAACATGTTAAATACAACTCGTTAAATGCCAGTTGCATGCAACCAGGTTGCATGCAACTCCTGAAGGAACCCGAGGTCCTCCCGAAGGAACCCGAGGTCCTCCCGAAGGAACCCGAGGTCCTCCCGAGGTCCTCCCGAGGTCCTACCGAAGAAACCCAAGGTCCTCCCGAGGTCCTCCCGGAGGGACCCGAGGTCCTCTTGAAGGACCTCGGGTTCCTTCGGGACGACCTCGGGTTCCTTTGGGAAGACCTCGGGTCCCTTAGGAAAAATTTACCCATAATGCACCGCGCGGTTACGCCGACGGCGACGGCGCTCAAGCCGGAAACGGGCGCCTAAGAGCTGCGCTCGAAAAAGACCGTGTAAATTTTCTTTTGTGACACCCTGTACATAAACGGCTCCGCGTGCCGAGCTGCATGCCGAGCCGCGAGTGGTCTCACCCCAGAGCTTGATCCTGCTGTTTCGCCGACATCAACGCCTGCAACGCTAGAATTTCTCTATTTTGTTTTAAGCACATGTTGGCCCCATTAAACGTTTAGTTTCTTCAGACATTCGCCGCCTCATCATTTGTCATTCGTGACAATATGTTGCTACAGGTTCCATGCTGACTAGGGTGCTTTAGTACACACAAGACCGGCTCCATTGTCCAATCTCCCCACCCTATGTGATCAGAAGCACATTAAGATGACAGTTTGAGATGCACCGTCATGGCAGGACAGGGTTAATAATGGGCAGTACCTATGTGGTTCACTGGGAGTGATAATATTTATTCAGGGTCATTTGAGATGGTAGCTGTGAATAGATGAAGGGTTAGAGGTAATGCGAGGTGCATAAACTGACACAAAGAGGGGAACACAAGCACTACCACTTGCATGTGCCATGATCTTCACCCTCTGCCTCAACCACCATTCGAAAAAAAAAAAAAAAGATTCCGTTTGTATTTGTATTCCGAGACACTAGCTGCTGCTTTTGACGAAGTATCTCAAGGATATCCCATTACAAACAAATATATCTCAGTATCTGTATTTACTGTTTTGACCTGAAAATACATGTATACAGCAGTATTTGTATTCCCAAACACTTTTTGCAGTAGTCTCTACCCAGCCCTGTTTAACCCCAGCTAGCACACATCCTGTCAATAATGCCATACTTCACTCATTTATAAGGTGACAGCGTGGTGAAAGCCACATACTCACTAAATCAGTCACACTTCACATCTTTTGCCACGCAATCACGCTCCCGCTCATACCCTCAGCGAGAGAGAGCGGTCAGACGAGAGGCAGTTGACTGGTCCAGCAAGCATGTAGCACCCGACCGTCAGCTATGGGGTAAATAGAACTTTCTCCGAGGGGCCCTCACTCACCCTGCAGCTTGCCGTAGGCAACGAGGGAACCGCTGAAGGTGACTCCACCGATGTAGGTGCCCAGGAAAAGGGCGGCCTTGATGACGTTGGCAGCGTCATCCGTGGCGAAGGTAGAGTAGTCCACCATGTAGGTGGCCAGGCAGGTGAGCACGGCAGCCATGCCCACCAGGCTGTGGAAGGCCGCCACCAACTGAGGCAGGTCCGTGATCTCTATCTTCTTGGCCACCAGTAGCCCGATGCCGGCACCTGGGGTGTTGCGGGAGCACGCACAAGAACGCAGAGTAAAGTCAAATTTGGAGGCTTCAGGTGCCAAACCCAATGAGTGGTATTTGACCAATACCAGCTACAAGACAAGGCCATCGTTAGTGAATCCCTGACCCGCCCCAAACAGTAAAGGCGCCGACAAGAATGCGTCGAAAACTGGCAGACGTGTGCCTCTGGCGTCGACGCATGCTAGTGTCGCACTCGTTGCAAGACACTGCAAGGCATGCTATCAGTATCGCTGATGTGAGGTAGGCAGTGCTGCGTGGACCCACTAGTGACGACCTTTGGGGGAGCAAGGCGAAGGCCTTGTCCTCTAGGTGATATTGATCTGGCATGCCCCAGCGGAACCAGTCATTTTGACCACCCGGGGACCTTTTGATGTGCAACCATAGTTTTGGTTACGGCACATTCTCCGCAATGAGTCTACGTCAGATTGCGGGCACCTCGTCTGAAATTCGAACCTGTCAACCGGGGCTCCGCAGGCCGGCGCTTTGCCTCGGGAGCCATGGAAACGGCTGCCAAAGTGACCTCAAGAGAGAGACCCACCTCCCCCCATGCAGGCGGCCACCTGCACGGCCAGTTCGGGAGACAGGTCCAGGGAGCCGAGGGTGGCCGCAATGCCCGAGGAGACCCCGATCATGCCCAGGGCGTTGCCCAGGCGGCTGGTCTTCTGCGAAGACAGTCCCGCCAGGGCCCCCACACAGCACAGCGACGATCCCAGGTACATCATCTGCTCAAGGTCCGTGCAGCCACTGCTCACCGCAGTGCCATATGCTCCCAGGAAGGCCAGGGCTGGAAAAACATATCTCTTAGTTTGAAGATTTCTTATAATGCCACCGCAAAAATTGTAACTTCTGAACAACTGTTGTTGACAGAAATGAGACAGCACAAGTAGTTTCCTCGATTTCCCTTTCCAGTGTTTCTGCAGCCTAATACGAGTACGGGGCCTGTAAGACGTCTCCAATTGGTGTATCTAGAGTACGTCCCGCCCAGGCATCAAAAATGGACCCAAAGTGGCAACAAATGACGTTGCAAAAGCTGGAGTGTCGTGATGCCGGATGTCGCGATCCTGACTGTTCGGCGTTGAAGTACCGTGTTTACACAATTGTAAGTCGACCCCCCCCCCCCCCCCCCCCTCACTGCATGTCAGCAAAAACAACAAAAAAAAAAAATTTAGTGGCACATTTTGCAGCGGACTTATGAGAACGACAGAGCATCTCTTTCGAAAGCCCGGCCTCTAGCGCGTGCCCAATGCCTTCTGGCGTGCTCCAGCTGCGCATGCATGCACAAGGTGCATGAGATGCTCAATCGTTATCGAAGCTAGGAAGCTTGCGTTAAAGGCGGGACAACTGAAGCTGCTCCCTGTCGTTCTCACTCTGTCTGCGACAAGAGACTACTTTTCGTCTGCACTGGTGCTGTCCTTCCTGTTGTCATCGTCGTTCCTACGACCATGACAACGAATAACGGGACAAATGATATCAGGTAGGAATGCTCATAACTTTGTAGAGGCATACTGGTCATAGTCTGGCCTAAGTATACTCGCACAGACCGCCACTGATTCAGAAGCTTCCTTGTCGCAGTGAAATTGTGAGGATAAAAGGGGCTATCTCTTTCAGTCTTGCCTTCGCAAAGCTTGGCGACGTAATTGTGAGATCAAAACCACCCGCCTGATGACAGTTGAGCGCAGCTCATGGATTGGACACAAGAACTGCGTGAGCACTCGACTTCAACTCAAGCAGTGGCTCGTGTCCAGCCATTGCGGTGATGACAATAGCCAAACTCTAACAATGCCTGGAGCTCAGCACACGTTTTTACTTTGCCGACCCTAGCGTGGCTACGATTTACGTTGGCGGCATAGGATAGGCACCAAGTTATGTGGCCGCTTGTTCTGGCTCCGAGTTAGGGGGATGAAAGATGCTCATATTTCTCCAATTTTTTTGGCGACTGCCATTGCCTAGAAAGAATAAACTAGTTAGCAAAAGTATAAAAATCATTGCACAACTCCTTTAACGTCCTGCTCTGGAGGAATGCTTTCCCTTTAGCACTTGGATGCACTGCAGCGAAGCAAAATAAGCAAAATTGTGACGCTTACTTCGAGGTTGTTGCTTCACTGCAATACACAAGAGTGCGGTGAGAAGCGCACTCAACAAAGTAACTTACACACCAGAGCAGACTAGGAACATAAGAGCCACTGCAAAAATTCCAACAGTACTGTCAGTGTTTGACACTGAAAGAGAGATCAAATAGGAGAGTATGTTGTTTGCAGCTAAAACTGAAAGTTCTGAAAATTCACACAAGCCTACCATAACGATCCGCAAGTGTAGCAGGACCGGACCAGAGCTATTTTCAGTATTAATAAAGTGAAACTAAGTTTTGGCACAATGTTGGCACAAGTTCCTCTCATTTGGGCTAAATATAGCAGGATGTAGCAGTGTAAGCCCTTTGGAGCAGTTTGGCACAAATGGCACAGCAATCACATCACTGTGATTTTGGCGCAGCTGGTTAAGAATGATCTTTTTGAAGCTTCAGGAGTTCAAAGGACTGAAATGGTACTAAGGTTGAAAGCTGGGCTAGTTGGTGATCGTTGTACATAATGGAATAAAACAGCGCGAAGATAGAAATAGGAAGAGACACACCAGACAGGACAGAGCGCTGACTCGCAACTACGGCTTCTTTACTCAACGAAAAAGAGAAAGACAAAGAGAAGGAAAAAAGATAAAAATATACAGGAAAAGAAGAAGAAAAAAATGAAGAGAAAGGAGAAAAAAGACATTAGTGTACGCAATCACACGCGCACCTTTCACCCATGGTAGCAGACTACGGCACGTGCTGGACCCTCATTGTCAACTTCAGGAATTCCAGCTCCTTGCCTGACAACGCCACTGATGCTGCGCTGATACACTTTTTTCCTCTGCTCTGGATGTGGAAGGCCTCCAGCACCTCGCGTGTCACTTTGTCCCTGTGTCGTCCCAAGATGGTGGTGGCACTAAAAAACGGCTCGCACAGGCACTCTTTACAGTGAACCGATAGGTGTCCTCCCACTGTCGCTCCGAGGGAGTACCTGTGCTCGCGGAGCCTTTCATTCAGGCACCGTCCCGTTTGTCCCACGTAGGTGGAACCGCACGAGAACCGCACAGTATCCCCCTCTCGTGCGGTTCCAACTACGTGGGACAAACGGGACAGTGCCTGAATGAAAGGCTCCGCAAGCACAGGTACTCCCTCGGAGCGACAGTGGGAGGACACCTATCGGTTCACTGTAAAGAGTGCCTGTGCGAGCCGTTTTTTAATGCCACCACCATCTTGGGACGACACAGGGACAAAGTGACACGCGAGGTGCTGGAGGCCTTCCACATCCAGAGCAGAGGAAAAAAGTGTATCAGCGCAGCATCAGTGGCGTTGTCAGGCAAGGAGCTGGAATTCCTGAAGTTGACAATGAGGGTCCAGCACGTGCCGTAGTCTGCTACCATGGGTGAAAGGTGCGCGTGTGATTGCGTACACTAATGTCTTTTTTCTCCTTTTTCTTCATTTTTTTCTTCTTCTTTTCCTGTATATTTTTATCTTTTTTCCTTCTCTTTGTCTTTCTCTTTTTCGTTGAGTAAAAAAGCCGTAGTTGCGAGTCAGCGCTCTGTCCTGTCTGGTGTGTCTCTTCTTATTTCTATCTTCGCGCTGTTTTATTCCATTATGTACGACTGAAATGGTGATTGCAAAACACACCAAAGCAGACAACCAAAGCCTTGCCTTGCAAGGTTTTGGTTGTCTGTATGTTAGTATCTGTTTGTGTCCTGAAAGCAGGCAGAAAAGGCAATGGCACTACTTTCTCAGGATCCAGTGACTTGAGGCTGCGTCAGTGTTCAACTCAGACAAATTAAAAAGCCTGCAAAGTGCTCCTTTAGAATGGCAACGAAATCGCCATAAAAGGTTCGGCCAAACGACGGGAGAGACGTGGCAGCACCCACCGGGAATGGCGTAGAGGTAGTTGTGCTCGCTGGGGTCCGTGGGCCTCCGAAACATGTCCAGCATGCGCTGGGTCACCAGGAAGCCCCCGAAGATGTTGATGGAGGAGATGAAGGCGGCCGTGGCTGCCAGTCCCTGGGGCACGGTGCCCGGTACCATGCCCCCGCCCATGAGCAGGAGACCGCCCACGGCCGTGATGCCGGACACCGCATTAGTCACGGACATCAGCGGAGAGTGCAGGGCGGGGGTCACACCCCACACCGTGTGGTACCCTGCGCATTGCGTGCAAGTGCAACAGTGAGACGCCTACTTACCAACAAGCCGGCGGCGGAATCTGAGACTCGAACGATAAAGTGAGGGGGCAGATCACAAGTTCTCTCTTTGCTATAGTGTGAAATACAGCATAGGTTAAGACAGGGGTTCTCAAACTGGGTTCCGCGGAACACAGGGTCCCGCAAGCTGGTCTCATGGGTTCCGCGAGCATTAAAATTGCAGTGCCCCCCGCCCCCCTAGTTTAACCTTCTACGGACTGAGCCATGAATCAAGCTCGTGTTGCAGGCAATGCACCCTCACTTTTCGCACTAATATATTTTACATTGTGCCCCACGTTAACCCCTCTGCCTTCCCATTTTGTCTGTAGTCCTGCATTTTATGTATTTCTCTCAATGCAGTAAACTCTTGTTCACTATCTAAATGCCTTTATTGCCCCGTATTTTCGGTTACCAACAAAGGGGCGGTGGGGTTCCCAAGGGGGGTGGGGGGTTCCTTGGGACTTTTTGAGGTTTGCTGGGGTTCCCTGGCACGAAAAAGTTTGAGAACCCCTGGGCTAAGGTAAGACTAAATACATTGGGTGTCCATGATGGACCCTACTGCTGTAAAACGAGCCGGGAAATTGAGCGCCTGCACATAAAAAGTTCATATACTTTCATTGAATGTGCGTTCAGATGGTGCATCTGACCTGCTAAAACTTCATCTCCCAATAGGTGCAGCGATCAAACAACAAAGTGCATCGTCTGCTCGCTGTGTCTATTGGAAAATGGCGCCACAAATCACAACCATTGCAAACTCAGTCGTCTGCGAACACGTCTGCCATTGATACTGAGAAGTTTGCCGGTCTCATTTTGCGCAAGGGAGCTACACCTTAAAATTTCACCAGGTAAAATGCACCACCTAAATGCATATTTGGTGAACACTTGAGCTTCCAATATGTGCAGGCACCCTTTTTTCCAGCTTGTTTTAGAGTGCTAGGATCCTTTGTGGACACTCTGCACATCTATCTTAAGCTGATGGCCAACATTTTGTCATGAACTCATTTAAAACAATTATGCGTTAATCTCAAGGGTCAACGAAGAAAAACTGTGATGGAAGCCTTTCCAAAGCACTGCATGCTTCTCCTTATTCTGTGCCAAAATTTTGCTATTAAAAAGATGACCATACCAGATTCTCAACCAAATCAGAGAAAAATTATTTCCTTTATTTATAAACTCCTAACCAATACGAAGACTTTGTCATGACTCATTTAGGTGAGGAAGTCTAACTCTCAACTTCTATTCCTTCCCTTCACGTGCGATGAAAGTTTAGCAAATGCTTATCTCGATTCAATATTATTCTGAAGGATAACATGTAAACAATAGAAATCGGGAAGAAGCGTGGCATCGAAAGACAGTAAGAAGCTTCTCCTCTCCAGCATTTGCTCTGCTAAAGTGGAAAGAGGAAGGATTAATTTGTCACCAACTAAAGACAATCTCACTCGTCTCATCTACCAGCATCTCACTTACCAACGATCCCGGAGAGTCCGAAAATGGTAGTCATGGTGGTGAAAGCCGGATTTGGAGACACCACACCCAGGCCGACAATCCCCGCGAGTCCTGGAACGAGGCACGCAAGCAGAGGTAACAGTCACACAACCTGCAAGCATTATATTACTCGCATCTATCAAAATTATTTTCGTTATACAGTTCAGAAGATACCATTTTGAACATTAAAGGAAAATAATCAAAACCAACCGACAGAAAATGATCCAAATCACTTCCTGTTAACTTTAAAAGCACCACGAATGCCGAAAAAAAAAAAAAAAAAAAAAGTCCCTTATCGTGTTTTGTTGATCGAGTGACACTTTCTATAATGCTCGGAACAAAGTCACCGACGGCTTAAGAAACGCAGGGCGTGGCAAGTCCTCAGCATCTTATTACTGTTTCGCAGCCAATGAGATTGTGGCATTAGCCGGTGAGGAGGTCGAAGAAGGAATCACGAACCAAAAAACTGCCAGTGACTATAGCAGTGGTTTTCAAGCAATGATGTTTCGGGGACCCATGTTGAATCGGCTGATATGATGGGGGACCCCAACCACCGCAAGAGAGGGGAGCTATTAAACTATTTCAATGACAAAAGGGTAAACAAAGAAGACTAAGGATTTGCAAACCTACTTTTGAGGCTCTGAAATGAAGAATAGTCAACCCTACTCTTTTGGCACACACGGTTTGATCTATTTAGCCTTGTAAAACACCCAGCATCAATAAAAAAAAAACATTTTTTGGTTAGATTGGCGGTCTAAGTTTTCGGAGTCCCCCAAGAAGGCCTTTAGGGACTCCGTAAGGTCCACAGACCCCCATTTGAGAACCGCTGGACTATAGTAAAATAATGATGTCGGATGCGGAAGATGCATTTACCTGCGGTGTAGAGGAAGGAGTCCTTCAGCGTGGCCTTGAAGTAGTCGGGTACTGCGACTTCCTTCTTTGCCGCCTTAGTTTCTGCGGCAAGGGGGGTGGGTGGCGGAGGCGGTGCCGCGACCACCTTTGGCGGTGGAGGGGGCCACAGGAGCTCGCCGTCCTTCAAGACGATCGAACCGCGAATCACTTCGTCATTCAGGTCGATGTGGTAGTGTCCCTTTGGCCCTGCAGCAGGGAGGGTTTGGGAAAGCCACAGTAAACATACTGCAGGGAATGAACCACTTGACAGTTCCTGCCCGTTTTGGCCTGGATAAACATCATACTGGTGTGCGGCCATGTTATCGTTACTCTGTAGTGCATGTTGAAGAACCCAGGTTAACAGTCGTACTGCGCTAGCCAAATCACCTGATGTCTAGGTCCCCATACAAAAAATCTTCATTTCAAATTTCATCGAATGTTTAGCAAGCTTTCGTTTCTGGTTATGGTGCTGTATCCAATTCAAGGATGTCCACTGCCAAAGCCATTGTCCCAGAAAGTATTAGTAAAATAAGAGATATGCGAGAGGCTCCAGATATAAATGGGGTCCTGATATAAATAAATGCTTCTAAGTGATTGTGGCAGCATCTGCAAAAAGCTATAATGTAATCTTGAGCTAAATAGTCAGTCTGAAAGTGCTAGAAAAAATTAGGACACACCTGCTCAGAAGTTTTAATGTAACTGACTAGCAACTACAAACGAGAGGGACAAGCAAAAGAGACATATTATGGCATACAAACCATGTCATTCATGTAATAAAATTCAATACTGAATTGCTTTGGCACCATTCAGTTAGCCTTCAAAAACTGCAAAATTGAAACATCAGTATAGTAAAATGTCTTCGAAGTGGATTTGAAACAAGATAAAGTAAAATAAAATATTTTGCACAAGATAATGATAGGGATAGTCTCACTGCTGGTTAAATAAAACAAAATTAATAAAGAGCTTGCCTGTGAAACATGGCTACTCGGTGAGAATCAATTACCATTCACTCTTTTAGTTATTTTTTTTTATGCACAAAATGTAGGCTCAAAACCAAAGTACTTCCTTCCAAAATTTACATGATTTCGATGCAGTGAGAAAAGAAACTCCTAAAAGTTCAACCCTTTCCAAGAGAACATAAGAATGGTTTCATTAAAACCAAAGCAGCTTGAATGTTGGGTCATAACTCATTAAAAGTTCAGTCAGAGCATTCTACACTTTGCGTCACTCTATGTGCAAGCAAAGCCGAAGCAACAGACACGAGCGTGTTGCAGTGAAGGGTGCTTGCACGGGACGAGCGTGCATAATTGAAGAGGCACTGAAAACCCGGAGCTTATTCTTGTAGCTTCCGCTATGCTCGCACTTAAAAGGTCGAATGGAGCATAGTCGCTGGCTACGCATCCACACCGTGTCTATTTCCTAAAAAATCCCGACCCACTCACCAATGGCCAGGAGGAACTTGGAAATGTTGTTTGCGTACAGAGTTGACGACTGCGTGGGCATGCGACTGGGGAGGTCGGTGTACCCAATGTGCACCACCCCGTTGTGGACGTGCAGCTCTCCTGGCCTCGTGGTCTCAACGTTGCCCCCCGCCTCCGCCGCCATGTCTACGATCACCGAGCCAGGCTTCATAGATTCCACCATTTGCTGGGAACGGGGTTACAAAGCCGGATCATGCCCCCTGTATCACATCGTGTCAGCACGACACTGGCATGATGCATGCTTAGGGCTCTGCATTTCTGGGTTTTAAATGATTTGCAGAATTTGAAGGGAATGAATCAAGGTGTATCTTTCCAACTGAAATCTAAAAAATAATTGAGGGGAAAGGGGGGGGGGGGGGGGGGGGGGGTTTTGCTCGTCAATGTCAAGACTGGCTTGTTCAGGTGTTTTAAGTGTTCTCATAAAGCTTAGTCATTAGCATTTAGAAATGACTTAGTGCACACTTTGAAACTGGTATTGCACACCATAGACCACTTTAATTGGTCGGTTTAGTTAAAGTTACAAAGCTTCTATCCTTACCGCCAATATACTTGCAGCATGAATTGTTTCTTTTTATGTTGAGATAGCTACACGAAAACCGGACTGAAAAGGCTTTCATTTTCACTTTAGGAAATAGACCGGCAGGTACAGTGACTTCAATACTTTATACGAATGGTTGCAATTTGTGTGGATCTGTAAAGTGAGACCTTTGCACAGCAATTATTGCATTGGCACATAAATATTTAGTCCACAATTATACGTAATTGAAAGTATGGTCTCCCGGTTGGAGCTCCACGCATGAAACCAAGTTTGCCATGGGCATGAACACACACTGGAAGGCTCGCAATTACACGCACTTGCCAACCGAGCAGAATTTAGGAAATCTATCAGCAAAATATTACATGCCTTGTACAAACAATCAAAAACAGCCCATACCTTAGTTATGAGCAGAGGAGCCTTTTTGCCTGGGATTAGTGCTGTTGTGATTATGATGTCCACCTCTTTGCACTGCTCGGCGAACAGAGCCATCTCAGCTTCAATAAACTCCTTGGACATCTCTTTGGCATAGCCACCGACCCCGTCTCCAGATTCCTGTAAGAATGAATGAAGACCATGAGTCGCAGGAAGGACACCATGAGACATGAAGAAGGTTGAGTCAGCATAATCGAGCAAGCAATTAAAAAAGATATTACAAGCGTGATCATGCTGAAAAAAACTGGTAAGCACAGAATGTGGGATAGGCCTTCCAGGGAAGAAGAGAAGGGCATCTGAACGGTATCGCCTGCCAAAGAAGCACTTTCGTTTCTGGCACACGCTGTGAAATGGCGCTACATAACTGAAAAGGTTGTAAAGCAAGCTCTTGCCTGATCCGTACCACCGACCCTGGATAGCTCAGTCGGAGGACTGAAGTCCTTTTATGCCGTTCCCTATCGGCGTAACGCTTTTTGGTGTCAGTTGTTACAGCCAAACGTTACAGAACACCAGGGAAATCAGCTCATAAAACACACACTGTGCTAAAATGACAACTATGTGAAATGAGCACGACAAGATGGCATTCTCCACCCTAGCAGCATAGCTGCTTTGTCGGTACTCTTAAGACAAGCCTCTCATTTAACGAGACACTGCAAAGGATATAGGCTTTATGTGTGTCACATTTATAAGCCGTTCTTTAGGAAACTCTTGTGCTGAATAGAGAAGACTGAATTAAAAGCTTTTATTGCTAAAGTCACGCTGCCAACCATTTCTCGAACTGGATGTAATGTACTGCTGGTTTTAGGCATTTTTAATCAATCAGAGTGCCTTCTGTACCACATGATTGAACTGCGAAATAAGTTTTAAAGGCTATACTGTCATCTCAGCTTTAGAAAAACTCAGTTTTACACTGTTTAAAAAAACTAGCCAGACCAAGCTTTTCCTTTCGCCTTTCCTGGGCATGATTTCTCATCTGACCCAGGAATTTTCTAATCCACTTTGTATTCTTCGCTTATTTTGCAGTCTGATTACTTTCCACATTGAGTTTGCAAGCATTAAGTGGAATTCTCTGAGAGCAACTGATGCATTGAAAATTGAAAAAGTGCAAAAGAAGTTTATTCAAATTGTTTACGATCAATATTTTGAGTGAAGCTTTTCTTATGACTATGCCTACATATACTCGAGATCCTCAGCTTACAAACGTTATCAAGGCACAGAGTTCCGCGAGATATTTTAATGTTGCACAGAATTATTAGCGGTCAAATAGATGGCAGCTTACGGAATTCCATTCGCTTTACCGTGTCTCTATGTTCCAGCAGACACTCCTCTTTGTTTTATCCTGGTTCTCAGGAAGTGTGTACAATCACCCGCATGCAAATGCCTTTCAATGCCACTTCACCAAATACGTCCTTAGATGCGCAAATTATCCATATTTTAGACATGAACTTGAAACTTTCACCTACTCACCATACCATGGGATATAATTAAACTAATGGATATAACAAAACAATCATAATTCCCCTTGCTTGCTAATAGTGGAAAGAAATGGACAATGGCTATAACGAACTAATGGTTATAACGAAATAATTACAACCACTCCCTCAACTTTGTTATAACGAGGTTTTACTGTAATCATATTGCTTTTCTATCCGAGTGTCATGCATGTTTTATAACCATAAACGTGCCTCATATCGCAACCTAAGCCGTTCTGAGCAGGAGGAATGCGGTTTCTCTTCACATCATACCCATTATTATGACTTGCCGCAATTACTGTTAGCGTGACATGACCGGTCAACAGTTAGAGGACCACCTGCAACTTGACAGAACACTTGAAGCTTCTACCGTGAAATACCGGGGAAGTACTCACCCCACTTTCACTGAAAACTGGGTTAATCTCAACATGGGCGCTTGTACGGTCAAATCAGGCGCTTAATGCAGTATACAAAATTCCCAAGTTTGAGAAATGTCAATAGTGGGCTCTTGAACGAGATGGGCGTTTCCACAGTATTTTACAGTAGTTTCAGACATTGGTTAGAAGATTGAGCATTTAAAATGTGTTTTGAAAGTTAACTAGACACCCCCCCAATTCAGCTCCTTCTTCCATTTCTAAATTGATTACACATTTGTAATAAGAAAGAGGACTAAACATTAGCAAACCGATACCCGAAGCGGCGACACCATGTGACCACCTACCGCGACGTTGACTGTGAGGAACTCTGCCCCGAAAGATTCGACCTGCTCCCTGACTGCCTCCCGGGTGTCGAATGCCCGCACAATGGCTCCCATGTTCTTGCAGCAGCCCACGGCGGCCAGACCCGCCACTCCGCCGCCAATGACCAGCACCTTCGCAGGGGGCACCTTGCCTGCTGCCGTGATCTGCCCTGGAAAGCACACCGCCTAGCTGAGACAGCAGCTTGCGAATCTCGAAAGACCCAGGACTGCAGAAATCCCTATATGAAAATCCTGTTTTGCATACTGACAAGGTGAATGGAAGCAAGAGAGGTTGCACAAAAAGAGCCGGACATTTTGCATGCGAGCTCTGCCACTCATAAGTGGCAGGAAGTCTCCAAAAATATCATCCAGACACGAAACAGTGTAAAAACTCAACTACTATAAGAAGAGTTCTAGGTTCTAGAGTCAATGACTTGAAAAGTCTACCCTGCATGACCAATTTAGAGTTTTACAGTGGCAATTTCTTTGGGGGTCACAATCCTCTAACGCTTGAAAAAACAACCTTTATCTTAACCTGAAATTGGATTACAAAACCTTAAATTGGATATAAATTTTCATTACGACAATATTAGAGAAGAATGCAAACCCCTAAAATGCAGATATGATGCATTAAGTTATCAGCTTGTTGCTATCCAGGCAAGGTCATTTGACGAGACATTACGATTACCTCATATGTGTTATGAAGCATATTACTGGTTACGCTACAGTTTTTCCATAAAAATACTGTCGTGCAGAGATCGTCCCAGGACCAATTCAAGTTTTCAACTCCTCGTCGAGGCCTCAAAACATTTAATTTTTAGAAGACACTTTACTCTTTGCAGTCATTTGTCGGGTTACGTAAGAAACCATTACGAGTTGTGCAAAGCACTGACAAAAGCAGGGACATGAAAGCGAGCCTCAGTAAATGGCCGGAGTGGAATGAGTTCAATCAGAAGCAGAGCACTAGAAGGCCTAGCATGTGCGTCCCTTCCGCAATGTCGGATCGAGGAGACATATGCAAACCCCCGTCATATTCCTAGGCTCGGTACTTGAGCCTTTACAACGCTGCACAGAGCTCTGAGCCTCGAAGTGCTCTATGACCATAAATGTTAACCCCATCAACAAGCCTCAGATGTTGTTGCAAAATTTCAGCAGGATCAAACCTTGATTTCATAACAAATTTTAGAGAAATATGTTATTTGCCGAGTTATCAAAAGAGTCGTGATAAAGTAATAAAGAAAAACGGCTTGACATAACAAGAGGAACAACTTTTGCAATAAAAGAGTCGGCCAAGAAACTAACTGCTCAGCCTAGATAAGCATGCTAGGTGCAGAGGAGAGGCAAAGCTCAATAATCATGGCATGTGAGGTAAAAAAAATGATGATAATGATTAGGGGTTTAGTGGTGCAGCAGCAACAATGTGAGGTAGAAAAGGCAAGAAAAAGAGTGAAGAAAATTTCTCGGACAACAGTATACTTCTTCATGACCAGCAAGAAGGCAACTTATATTCAACACCCTTCAACTGGCACATGCAGGAAATTTGATACTGCGAGCTTTAGGGGAAATTTTCAAGCTAGAGAACGTCTTGGAGAGGGTCCCCCCTCTGGGTGACCTTTCCAAAGCTAGCAGAGCTCTCTACCAACTGAGCTAACCACGAGCTGGCAGTCAGTGGAGCAAACGGATGTTAGCAGTGGAAACCAGTCTTGATCCTAACCACCAGAAGACTGAGATCAGTCATATATGATTTGATACTATCATATCTAAGGGACATCCTCAAGGGACATCCTCAAGGAAGATTTACATAAGAATAAATTGGCTTCCTCCTGAAATGAAGCCCGGCTCATGCTCCTTAGGGGGCTGGTGGGCGCTGAAAAAAATTTGCCTGGTCCGGAATTCGATTTGGGGACCTCTCTAAGACTAGCGGAGCGCTCTTAAAGAAATCCCGGGATCGAATCCTGATTCAGGTGGATTTTTTCAGCAGCTACCAGTTCCCTAGAGGGTGCGAGTTGAGCTCCAGGTGGAAGTCAATTTATTCTTGAGAAGAAAATTAACAACTGCATATGGAGAACTTCTTCCGAGCCCTTACCCGTGAAGAAACGTCCAAAGTGGTTGGCCGCCTCGATGACCGCCTTGTAGCCCGCGATGTTGGCCATGGATGAGAGGGCGTCGAACGCCTGCGCCCTACTGATGCGGGGGATGGCATCCATAGCGAAGACGGTCATGCGCTTCTTGGCCAGCTCGTCCAATAGGGCCCTGTTTTGGGCCGGGTACAGGAAGCTGATGAGAGTGCTGCCATCCCGCAGGTGTCCCTTGTCCAGCTCCACGGGCGCCCGGACCTTCAGCAGGATGTCCGACTGGTAGGTGCTCTTGCAGTCCGTGATGCGTGCACCACTCGCCTCATACTCCTCGTTCTTGAACTTTGCCTGGAAGAACAAAACGGTGGACGTGCGAACGAGAGTTTGCACATTTCAGGTTACATTACGAGTGGCCAGTGTGCTGGTCTCCGACTCCGTGCTGAGGCTAAAATATCGCCGAAGCACAGAAGCGTAAACTGCAGATGCACGAACAAACAAGACACCTTCCTGAAAACAAGAGTTAGCTTCCAGAACATGTGTTGGAAGGTGTGGCAGTAAGTGCAGTCAAAACTGTGGGTTTTATATGCCAAACCGACGAAGGGCATCTGGCACGCCCAGGCAGAGGACCAAAGATTAATTTCAACCACCTGGAAATTTTTTCACGTGCAACCGAAATTTCGGTTACACCAAAATTTCTGTACTCCTTCTGCACAAAGAGCCTCTGTCAGAATGTAGGCATCTCGGCCGGGATTCGAACCCGCCATTTGGGAATCCATGGGCCAGCGCTTTGCTTTGGAGCCACCGATGCAGCAACGCATTGTAGCAGACAAATAATATAGTGTAATGTCCCGAGAGATATCCCACCTAAAATCGAGAAAAAAAATGGGTGAAAATAAGGAGTGGGCTAACGTTCGGTGTGCAATCAAGAAAAGTCTTAAAAACTGCTATATTTAGATCATACGTCCCTGCCAAACTTGTTATTGTGGCGAGGCAATAAAGCAAAGATGACCGTGCTTGCCAGTCAACAAAGTTTGCTTATATCCCGACATAGCTAAATAGAAGCATTTACGCCAAGGTCATCATTGATCCCAACACTGTAATTACTAGGAAGGGGCTATCTTTCGGTGTTTAAAAGAAAATAGCAAATCAAGTCAACAATAGGGGTGGGCTACCTTTCGGGGGTGGGGCATCTCTCGGGATTTTATGGTACATTGAACTTTGAAAACGAGGGAGCTAACAAAATAAAGTATGTAAGAGCTAGGGAGTTCTGCAACTAAAGTTACTAAGATTTTTCCTAAAAAAGGAAAAGATTTGTATGAAACGGGGCCGAAAGAAACTGAATTAGCTATAAAATCTATGAAAGTTAAGAAGGAGTAACGCACGGGCTTTCCCCAGATTTCATAAGAAAGTGATCAGGGATCTGTCAAGCCAAGACTTTTTCAAGGTCACACAATTTATAAAACATAATTTTAAAAGAGAGTGCTTCAAAGGGCATTTCTTTTTGCCTAACAACGTCAAGGACAATTCTCTCTATGCTATGTTGCAAACAAATTTTAAGGCAGTTTCTGCTTTGCTTTTACATATGCTCACCAATTGTTTGCAGTTCTTGTACACTGCATTACTCTTTTGGCTGTCCGACTTCCCAATAGTATAAGCGACATCACTCGCTGCCCTTGCCTTATCAGCATACGAGTTAGGCAAAAGTAGTCGAAGGATCAATTACGAGTCCATGGCAAAATCTTTTGTCATACTGGCCACTTACTTCTTACAAGAAGCCTTTCTTTTTTCATACTAAAATTGAAAAAGATTTTTCAGAGACTTCATTTACCAACAATTTAGCTATTCCAGGCTTATCAAGGCTAGCCGGGACCTATGTAAACCGCAGCAGATGTGGGACATGTGCATGCCTGGATTTATTCCTGAAAGTTTATGCCAGTCACCAAACAGTACTTTTGCAATCTGACACTATTAGCATGCCCATTCCAGCAAGTCCATAGTTTTTATGACAGGTTTTAATATGCAGGAAAGCAGGGTTGGGCAGTATAACCTTCTCAATGTGAAGATGATATTTGCTCGTTTTAATAGGAGCATCTGTTCGTTGGCACCTGCAAGAAGCATAATCTTGTTGGCTAACACGACGCTTTGTTCAAATTGGCAGTGGTGGACCAACAAGCTATTTGAAAAACTACTCATCCTCAAATGTATTTGAGTGTAGCAGCAGAGTCTTATGTTTATTTTAGTTTTGCTTTAGTTTTAGTTAAAATATGTAGCACAAGGGCATTTTATGGCTGCTTCATGAATAGTAACTTGTTACCAGCAATACAAAAGTTAGCATCTGAAATAGCTTTTTTTTTTATGAAAAATGTCTTTCAGTATTTTTACCCCACCAAATGTAATAATGCATTCGTATTTCCAAGTACTTTTCTATTTTTCTGATGTACCTTTGATATGTATCACTATTGGCCTCAAGATTGACCAAGAGGTGGGGCGTTACTGTCATACTATCGTCATCATCAAAGCGGGGATAGAAGCATGGCTGCCCCATAGGCTCTCCACGTTTGCGTACAAGACGGTGAAGATTCTTGCGTTTATTTTGTCACACAGTATCAGTGGGAAAACATTTTTTAGCGGAACATGGTGCGGTATTGTTCGGAGCTTCAGTATAGATTGAATCGTGTTCCCAGCATACGGCCTACATTTAAATAATCACTTGTTTGGATGCATCGTCTGCTCTGTATAGGTTCACTAACGTGGGAATTCAACAAAACAATGAATTACGACCCGGATAACATAATACAGGTACTGTGCCCTGTGAAATCGCAGGTTCTATGCATTTTTGTTTTTGTAACCTTTAGCTTTTGCAGTATAATATAAATATTTAGCATGAAGAGAATTCAGTGCTGTATCAGAAATTACCGTGCTATTGAGTTCCGCTGCAGCCAATGTTTCCCTTTACTGTGCCATGGTGTGGGTAAGTTTTTTGGAGTCAGAACAATTCTACAATGCTGCGATGAGGAGAGAGTGCCGCTTCTAGTTACAATCCGGAAACCGTTGGCGGGACAACTGAAACAAACTATTCTAATATATCTGCCGTGAGTGTAACAAACGGGTGTGACCGAGCAACGCAGTAGCATGCGTGTTACTAGATGCTTTTCTCGGTTGTGTGGGTTCACCAGCTTCAATTTTCTTGGTGAGGGTCGCGAATGTCAAAAGGCTAACATTATAAATGGATGGCTAAATAATCTTCTATTCAAACATAGTAGACTCCGCAACTCCAACAAACAACTCGCACCACGACACAAACTGCATCGGCTGCAGCGACACCCTTTTACTGATGAGGGCTAGCGACTCTTACGAGACTTTCTGATCACCCTCCGCCCTCACCTAATGCATGTCGGGATTGGGCAGTTCATTGATTAACCTTCAGATTATTCGAGTGATGCTTTAATTGCGATTTTTTTTGCCGTTTAATCAGAATCTTGCGCTGAAGAAAGTCAAGAGAAAGTAAAAAATGCCTGCTTTAATCCTTTAAGTGCCTTGGACAAGCTGAGCTCGTCGGCCGCTTTCTGGTTAAAAATGCCACGGACGAGCTTAGCTCATTCAGTGGTTCTTTTGGTAGCCTTCAATTCCACGGACAAGCTAGGATCATCCAAGTAGTTTGCGGTGCTGATCATAGAAAGCAACACTCGTTTTAGTTAATGCCTTTTTTTTTTTTTTTTGCCACCAATGATTTTGCATAATAAACTTTTGAAATTGTATCTGCGATACTAGAGGAACAAAACTCCTCCATATAAAAAAAGTATGGCAATTTCAGGTTACTTAAAAAAAAAAGTGGCACTTAAGGGGTAAATCTTTCAAGTATTTCTTTTGGGACACAGGCTTGCACGGTAAACCACTTCAGCACACTGGTGATAAAAAAAAAAAATATATATATATATAAAAAAATTATGCATTGTTTGCGGTTCGGTATATTGTAATTCTGGTGTATTGTTTGTAGCTCGGTGATCAACCGTTGTAATGGTGGCGACATTCGGGGGAGGTGTATATAAGGCGTAGAGGCAATAAAGTTTTTAGCTGAGTTTGAGACGTTGTTTGTTCCTTTTTCTTCCTACTTCACAAGTTTACGTTTTTCAAACCACAATCTCACGTTTCAATCATCATGTATAACTTACACCAGCTCGCCTGCACTTTAACCATTTTTTCGTTGAAACTATAGTGTTTCTTTCGCTTACCGCCAGCCCTGCCTGCTCCTCAACGTTGACCGTGAATCCTTTCTTGGTTAGGTTTGCGACGGCGATGGGGGTCAGGGCAACTCGTTGCTCATTTTTGAACAGCTCCTTGGGCACTCCGACGGAGAGGTTGGAGTAAGGGATCCCCTTGGGTGGCTCCGGCGTGGCCGCACTTTCCGATCGACAGGTGGAGCTACGGCTGAACGTCCGCCTGCACAGGGGCCGCCTCGACAGCCTGGCCAGGCAAGCATGGTCGACAGTGGCGGTGGAATAACGGAGCGCTAGAAACATTTTCTCTGTAAAAAGAAATGGAAAGAAAATTATTAGTAGAATTGCAAGGAGCAAAAGTATGCAGGTGAGCTGTTTAGGAAACTTCATAATCTAAACCCTGAAACAAGGAAAAATAAAATATTAATGAACAAGACGACACAAAATCTTGACTACTACTTTATTTCTCCTAGGTTCAGAGTTTAGATTGTGATAATTAGTAGATTGCTCGAGATATCATGGCCCTACAACTGGGGCTTCCAGCTTTCGTCCTTCATTCTTGGGCGGATTCGGTCCCATAAACAGCCCCTTTTGAGTGAAATAGCACTGAAATTGATTAATATCTGTTCAATAATTTCCTCTTTTCTTTAACTTTTTTTATTTTGCGAAGATTTCACAAGTTGTTGGCATGCATCACAATTCCCTACTCTGTCAAGAAAGGAGGTCAGCATTCGCTTCATTACAGAGGCTGCCTCCCTGCTTTCCATTTTCCTAGGTAATATGACTTTTTGGTGTTTAAAGTTAGTTATGTCTATGTGTACGACATTTGCATAATGAGAAGCAACTAGCAAACAAAACAAAACAAAATGAGAACACAGCCGAGACCATAAAAAGTAGGGGAAATATTTAACAAAAAGGTACAGACGATGCCACAAAAACGATCGAACTGTTCACACAGTAAGGTAAAAGTTAAGACATATCAAGATTAATAGGGCTTATAAAGTTCATTAACCCCACGTATCGCGCCGGCGATACGCTACCAGCTGTTGCGATGTGACACAGCGCAAAGTTTTTACGACTAAACGTACGGTCAAGCAAACTTGAAAGGATTACAACAAGTGGCAGGAGGCAACGTGGAAAGTCACTCACAATGTAATCGCACGGCCGACTGAGATTTGACGAAAACCAAACCCGGCGAAATCAATCTTATCTGGCGCCAAGGCAAGCTTCTTGACTGCAAGCATTTGTTCGTCCAACCACAAAACAGGCAATCGTTTTCGTTTAGAGTACTACCTCTTTTTTCGTATTTCCTTTTTTTTTTTTTTTTTTTTTTTTTCGCGGCCAACATTTGGAGTTAGATATGGTTCGCTCTAATTTTGTAGATCTTTGTTTACGTTAGAACAAATATCCAGGGCATTTTAACACGTTCCCAGCCGGTTCATGCGCATTTCTCTCAATTTACGTTTGGCGCCGTCAGAATAGAAGTGTCGCGATACACGAACTCACAAAATGTCGAAGCGTGGCCGTATATCTGACCTGTCAACAGTTTAGAGCAGCTCGAAGCAACAGCTAAAAAAAGACACGAACGGGAAATGTTAGCCCCCTAAAAAGCGCACATTTAGCGAAGAAGTCCGCCGGACCGCTCACCAATACATGGACGGCGGGGCAACTTGCAATCCGAACTGCTTTGAAGAGCGACCGACGGACGTAAGCAGAGCCGCGATTTCTAGCGATGACAGCTTTCGCCGGCGATCTCCGTGCAGCAAACTGTGCTATCTTCGGCTGGTGGTCGGTCCGTCGGTCCCCCGTGATCTCGGTTTCTTTCGGTGTCACAAGCGGAAAAAAAAGCGGCAAAGTACTTTAGTGAGCCGGCTCCACTCCTCAAATGTTGCTCGTCTTTGTGGTCAATAGGTGGCGCTGAGGCGAGTAGAGCCGGTAGAGTACGTGTTTTCTGCTGTCGAAGCGCACGGTATGTGGTCCTGAGACTCGTGCAAAAGAGAGTAATTATCGGCAGCTGCAAACAATATAATTGCTTAAATATGAATTTAATGAGGTGTATTTTTACGCGGAGGAAATAATACCACCTGCTCCTGCCCACCAAACCGCGGAGAAAGTCTTCAAAACATACCGGACACTTTGAGTTGTTTTATGTTTTGAAATCCCGTAAAGGTTGTATTTTTAGCTTTTAGAGTTATTGAATACTCTATAAGACAAAAAATATAAACCCGACTAACTTATTCTGACTTCTTCTCTAATCAGGCCGACTCCTACCAGCAGAAAACTAAACATATTTGACCGCTAATGAAAGCAATCAACCTCCAACTGTGGGCGCGGACATGCATCAATGAAGCGCTTTCAACCGCGACAGGACAAAGCTATTATTCGACCTCTATGGTCCTCGTCACAGAACACACGGAGCTGCGTGCAGATGCATTGTCAGACAACAGCGTTTTCATCCATCCACCTGTAATACCGACCACGGTGCCAACTGTACCGGGTAGTACGGGTACAGGTAATACTCGTTTGTGGCCAGCAGCGAGCAGCCAGCTGTTATGAGTGAAGAGAGAAGGTGCTGGCGGAGAGCAAAGTGCAAGGGTGTAAGGGGCTGACAGAAGATAAAAGTTTCTGCGCGCTCGGCAGGTTCACCGTGCGACCGTGCGTCAACGGCGTGAAACACAAACCGATTCGGTGTAGCGGTTGGGTCAAGTTGCCGCACAAGGAGTTTCTGCGCACTGTGGCGGCGCGGCGATCGCTTCCTTTAGGAGTCATCCCCATTGGCCGTTTCGTCGGGGGTAGCGCCCTTTTTTCTCGCTGAAGTTTGTGAGGGCCCGCAAAACGTGGTGGCCGTCATCGCTGGTCGGTTCAGACAATGGCACGGGCTGTGTTTAAATTTTCGCGCCTGCTGCAAAAGGAAGGCGGCCTGTCATCCCCCGCCGCTGCGTTCGTCCTTCAGAACAGGTCTTGTAAGTAGTGTTCGCCAGCCACCCGGCTTTTCGGCGCTCGCGCGTCGCTTGCGCCAAATAAGTCACTTCCGCAGCCAACAACCGATGCGACGGCGGTTCAGTGAACGGACTAAACGAACCTTGCCTACGAAAGCCCGAAGTAGCCACGTGTTTCGATCGGTTCCACGTCCGCGAAACCGTATGTTGGACCCAGTGCTGCTTCTGCCACGGTGGAATCGCGACAGCAGTTCTTGAACGACTGTCGCTTTTGTTTCACTGCCACGCGAGAAAGTTGTGGTCGTAACGTGGTGGCAGCGGCTTAGAACGCGATGGAGTTGCATGCATATGATTGTTCGGGACAATTATTTCGCTCTCATTGTCATAGACTCTAATAGAATCCTCGTCCCGTTGATGCGCTGTCACGTGGGCCGCCATACGTGGCGTTGAAGTCTCGTGTTCTCAGCGTCACCAAGAACTGCGAGGCGGTACTGGGACTCTTGTCCCTGTCACTTTAGTGGTGATTCATCGTATATACAGTTTGCACGAAAACCCTTTCTTCTGCCATACGGATTAGTTCTGCTGCTGGTTGCATACCTGTCTTACAATAGTAGAATTTGACTCATTGTAGGTCGCTAATAAATGCCTTATAAGGTACCCTAGTAGCGCAGATAGTTCTGTGATGTCCTTAGGGTGTCCTGACGTTCTGGTAACGTTTAATGAACGTCCACACACAGAACATCCCCAGGACATTAGAACATCCTAAGGACATTCACAGAACTAAGTGTGCTACTAGGGTAGCTACCGGTGCGGTCAAACAGTTAAATCCAGGATCTCGCCGATTTTTGTAGATGAATGGTCATGGGTCTGAAAGGACAAACGGCTAGATTAGAGCATCAGAAAGTTTTATTTAGTTTGCAGGTTCAGAAAACATCTACAGCAGGGTAAGTGCAATTTTGCACTGATAGACAGAACACAGCTGATACATAAACTTGTGTCATCAGTTGTGGTGCTTTTTGTTTTCGTCTGCCGTTTCCCGTCACTTCTAGTGGAAACTCGTTGTGCATTGTTCGTCAAGTTCTCTGCATTGTCTGTAACAAGATCCTATTAGAACATTTCTCCCCAGTTTTTATACATTGTATCAATTTCAAGTGAATTGTCAAGGCTTTCGGGTGGGTGTCCCTATTCCATTCACACATTCCTCCTCATTAACTATTCTGTTCATTCCTCGTCCCTTAATCCTTTCCAGGGGGGAGACGTGCTTTCCATTAATTGGTGGCAGATGCTACAAAATAAAATTGCAAAATTCACAAAAAAAAAGTGTACTCTGTTGCCAAAATCACTCCAGACAGTCACTGAAGCATCTTTCGATTGCCAATTTTCCAACGTAACAAGCATTACTACTTGCTCACATTCGAAGTGTGCACAGTGGAGCCTTGACATCTAAAAAGCTTAGAAGTTAGTTATCAGTTCAAGTTATCGAGGCTTGTGACACTTCGGTTCCCGAAGGCCGAAGGCGCGTTTGCATCGGCTTTCCCAGTCACATATCAGTCCATCCAGATCTGTGCTGCGTAAAGGACAGTTTGTTGACAGCGCATGGGGCTAGATAACGCCGTTCCTTATCTTGAGGGTTCTGCTATCGTAGGCTCGTGACTTGCACTAATTTCCTGGGTCATTCACCTTCATTGGTGTTTTGTGATCCTTTACTTGTTGTTTAGAAAAGAATTAATTATTCCAGCTAATGTAATGTCTTATGTACTATTATGCACCATGTGTTTGCTAAATTAGCTGCATTCACTGATGTTTTCTCTTTTTGCATAATTATCGGGGTAGCCCAACAGATAAACTTTGGGTTAACTTTAAGAGATCGATTTTCAGCTCGTAGCAACCTGTAAGCTAAAACAATTTGATTAATTTAAAATGCTGTGTATACACGCACTCAAAATCCAATTATAAATAGTTATAAGTGGGTGAGAGGTTCTTGTTTGAGTAACATCTGTGCATATCTTGCTTAGTGTAGACATTTCTAAAATATGAAAAAAAGGAGGCAGCATGCTTAGTATTTTACTTTACCTTTCTTCCTCTTGTATTAAATCTTTCTGAAGTCTCATTTCGTTCACAGAAATGTAGCTGATGATAAGAAATCATGTTAGGGTTGTATTTCTTTTGTTTTTGGTTTTGTCAAGGTTCAAAACTGTAGGTTGCACTACATAGAAACATAAAATAAGCAGGATGTAACTTTGGCAGGCAGGATGTAACAATTGGCATGAAATTTCCTGGTCATCAAACCCTTGGGTGTTTCTTTTTTTCTTTTTCTGTGAGTTGTTTTTCTACCAAGCACTACTGGTGTTTTTGTTTCTTTCTGATGTTAAATCCTCTTTGAGGCACAACAGGTATTCAAATAGAGAAAAATATTCCAGATTCTCTAAAGAGATGGGCTGTCGTGGGTCATTTGCATGCTGTAACAGTGTCTTACACCATGGTCATTTGGCACTCTGAATACAAGGCTTTCCTAAGTGCTGGGAAAAGAATTCTGAGAAGCTTCTTTCAAATTGAAGGAACTGAGATAGCGACATAACTTGTGAATAATGTTAGTTGTTTTTGGTTTTAAGCTTCACAACAACCAATTATGCCTCTTTTTCTACTCTGGATTGAGTCTTGCTGTAGATATACAGTTCTTATTTTGTACTAAAGCCTGCAGAAAAAAATTGCATTAATATATGTATTTGCAGTATTACCAGCACGGTGCATATTTGAAGTAATCAGTTGGCAAAAAACTAGACCAAGAGTTTACAAAGGGAGTCCTATACAAATAATTATTTGCATAGATGCCATGCACATGCCTTGGCCCTTTCCTGCTTGCTGAATTTACTTTTTCTTAGGCCAAAAGTGCTGAAATTTTTCACTTTAATTAAAAATTACTGGAAGTATGCTATCACGATTAAAAATTACAAACGAACAGGAAAATACAGTGGACGATTTCTGGTATTCCATGTTCTGCATTTGTACAACCAATTTTAACTAATCAGTTAAACATTTAGAAGAAAAAGACTGATTATTTTGCCATTTCTATTTTCTATGATCATTAGTAATTTTGCATAAAAGTCAAGTGTGTTTTGCTAATGCCCGTGTGATATAACATGATATCGTGAAAACAGAGAATGTTCACACCTTTTGCTACCTTCTAGAATCGTCAGTACTGTAGCAAATCTATTGCTCCTACAGTTGAATAATTTATTGGGCTTATTGTGTGCTAATAAGTTATTGGGCTTACTGCAAGCAAGATAAGTTTAATCAAGCTCTGGTGTAAATGAGACTAGGAGCATCATAGACAGAGCGGGTGATAGTGACGCAGCAAAAGAAAAAACTTCCATCATTAAACAATAAGTAACCAATAAGCAACCGAGTGTGCTTCACAACAGATAATGGACCTTTGCTCGTGGGCAAACTCGGAAGCCTTCACAACAACGATGATGAGGGCTCGATAGAGAGGTTGAACATTAATTGCTGCTATACTATGCAACGATCCCTGAATGATTGCTTTTGTGGTATAATTTTCTGAACATGCTCTGATATGAAGGCCACTAGAACAGGACAGTTCTAGCGCAATTAATTACCGTCTGTGAAAACTGCGGTAACTCACAATAAAGATTTGCGTGGGTTTCTCGATGAATAATAATACGTGTGTGTATGTTTATACAGTCGGAAGTTAGCGTCAATGGGTGTTCGGTGTCTCAGCTGTAGATGGGAAATTTAGCCAGGTCTGTGTAACCGCTAGCCTGGGGCTCAAAAGACGTGCACCACGCAGTAGTGATACACGGTCGCGCGCCGGTACAGTGCTCATTCAAATCGAAACGGGCAGGGAGTGGGGATTTTAATAGGGGCTGCACATAGATCGAACTAGTTGAAACGCAAAACACTGAGCAAGACACGTCCTCCCGCATTTCGCCCTGTCTACTGCGCGAGCAGTTTACTAAGGCGGAAAAACCTGTTCTTAAACAGATTACCAAGGCCGTTTTTATTATTATTAATTTTGTGATGATGATTATTAATTTTATAATTATTATTATTATTATTTGACTTGAGCTGTGGCGCGATTGAGATGATTGTTATATGATCTGGGAGCTCTTCTCCGAATCTGACTTTCGTGGCTAATCGGGAAGTCAGGGGTGACCCCGCCTATGTTATCTTTACTTTCCAACGTGACGACCTGCACACATCCACCCTGAGCGCTACTACATGTAAAAAAAGAAAAAAAGAAAGAAAAACGCAGGCTCTCGTGAGAGAACGACTCCCTGTGCACAAGTCACTATCCGCGTTGTAGTTGGCAAAAAAAAAGAAATATAACAAAACTTCGTATATCGTCATAAAAGTGGAGCAGTGATTCAGAGGCCACTTATCTGTGGAACTCTTCGCCGTCGACAATGTAGGCGACACACGTTGTCGCTGATATCTTTTTTAATTTATTTTCTGCTCGGCTCGGCGGTTGTTCCTTTTTTGTCTTTATTGGGGCTCCAGTTATCTAGTACCTTCTGTCAGTAAGTGGTCAGCGGTTTGGTAATTAGGTTAGATGCCCCTGTAGACTTCGACCTGGGTCTATGAGGGGCGCGTTGCACCGGTCTCTTTGTTTTAGTTTACCGCCTTGCACTTTTTTTTTTTTTTTCGCAAACCCCAAGTTTAGTAGCAATTTTCCATGGACCTTGTTGTGTGGTTCGTATTTCTTTTGTGTATTGGCAAGTTAATTTTAAAATGTGAACCGAGTCGTTGAAAATTTCGTTTTCCCTTATATTGCTGGTCTCTTAAAACTTACAAGAGGAGAGACTCATAATAATAATCCCTGGAGAAGAGAAACGAGGGGGCAAAGGACAAACACAAATCTCCAAACACAGCTAGGTGACTGGTGCGCGACCGAAAAAATCCGCCTGGCCCGGGTATCGAACCTGGGACCTCTCCATTACAAGTGGAGCGCTCCACCAACTGAGCTAACCAGGGGTTAGACGTCAGTAGAGCAAACGGGTTTTATC